TTGGACTTGTATGTTCATTTAATATATTTTTTTAATTTTATCCTTATTCTTTATCACATACTCTCTCATTATTTTTTCCCATAAAATTTCTTTCATCATTTTTCTCGCTCATTGTTTCACTTATTTATTCTCTTTATAAATAAGAATATATCTGGAAAAAAAAAATGTCTTATATATTTATTATTTTTAACTAATTTATTGATATACGCATAATGGTTGTTTGGAACTAATGGTATTTTGAACCGGAGAAAGTAACTCCTGCCCTTTTTTCTGCCAACGAATGGAATTCTTACTGTGGTATAAAATTTTAAAATATATATGCATACATAGAGTTTTTTTTTTGGTTATGTATAAATAAGACATTAAAATTAAATGTACCACTCTGGTCCTTTTCAATTACTACTCGCAAGAAATTTTGATACTTTTTATTTGTTATTTGTACTATTTTTAATTTTTATTTTTAATTCTGCTCCTATTAATTAAGAGAGACAAATATAAAGGTAAAAAGAGAAAGAATGAGTGAGAAAAAAATATACTAACTATTTAATAAAGGTAAAACTAAAATTTTTTATATGTTTAATGATTTTTTTCATATATAGGAAACTACTACAAATAATAATTAAAAGGGACCAGGGGCATGCATATGGTTTTCATTTTCATATTTTGCGAGTTGCTTGTGGCCAGTTGTGAGGCCGCATGTCTGGCTGGGTGTCCCCACCGCCACCGGAGAGTCTTGTTTGTGGTCGTGCCGCCCACGTCTCGAAGCTCTGAATGCAACCGGGTCGAACCGTGTTCTTAATCCTCCCATACTTTTACGCGCACCAATGAGAACCGTGGGAGCCCATCAGGAACCGTACAGATTGGGGACCGTGAACCATCTAGTGGCCGTCCGATCTGGGAATCATAGGATCCTGACCAGACCACCCCTGGAGCATATTCCAAGATTACGAGGCACGCGTCCGCGATGCTGTGGGGCGGACGCTTTTTAACATCTTCGCATTTCTCGAAAAGGATGGGCCCCACTACCAACACAAAAATCTGCAAAGCTATCACGCGCTTCACCACGTTGCCATTGTGAACGTTGTCCTTGCCTCCTAGCCGACCCTCACCGCCGAACATAACAAAATACTATACACAGGACATTATATCTTCCACGCGCTAAACCAGGCTTACCGAAGCACGCGCGGCTTTTTTCCCGACCACGTACTGTGTAGCCTAGATGGGTGATTACGAGTTTCATTTTTGATATTCCATATCTAGTCAGGAATGGCTTACGCCAATTGCCAAAAGAATGTTTTCGGTCCCCAAAAAAAGAACATTTGACAGAATTACTATGAAGTCAAAAAAAAAAAAAAATCTTAAAAGTTTTCACTTAATAGTAATATTGTCTCGAAAGTTTTTTCTAATTCAAGACCATCCTGTAAAATGTTAAAATAGAGTAATGTATACATTTGCCGTTAAAATTATTAATTGCTAGTATCAATTTTTTAATGATTACCGTTAGCTTTTTGAAGATATAAGACAACTTTACAGCATTTTGAAATTTCTGAGGTGACATCAAATTCAAAAGAACTTTTATTATAAAACTTTTTGGTGGGTATTTTTTCTTAGAACTTTATATAGTAATTCTTCCAAATATATTTATATCGTCTATGATGTGTTATCGGGACTAGGATCTTGTAAATTAATGGCACCAAATATTTTTAAAGGTTTTTTTTGGATAATAATTTTTTGAAATATAAGCTCATGTATCTGACATAACTAACAAAATTTAATTACATTTTTAAAAAAATCCAATCTTTTGTTCCAAAAAAAAATCCAATCTAATAAACAAGATAAGAAGAGGGAATGAGGATCAAAATGATGGTTTTTAGTGAGGCTATGTGAAATGATAAGAAATCAATGAAGTATTTTGTTTGCGCGTAGTGTTAAGTATGAAAAAGTTTCGTAGGAGAAATTAAAATAAATAAAATGAGAATAGTTTCAATAGCTAATTTAAACAAATAAAAAATACTGTAAAAATTTTATTTGTGTGTGCGTGTGTGTGTGAGATAGACGATGCTTAAAGGTGCTCTTCACAAAACACAACTTTATGTCGTTTTACATGAGAAAGAAGGCTTGAGAGTGAAGCAAAGTTTGAAAAGGCTGTAAAGGAACAACGACAAATCCTGAATTAATATAACCTTTTTGGAAAAGAAGGTTAATCCACTCTAATCTTGCCTAACTTCGATATTTTTTCCTGCTGGCAAAAACAAAGAGAATTTATTGCTATATATAACAAAATCATACCACAGAGAACATAGCCTAGTAATTGTGAACCATTTATTTACAAATTGCTGGGCTCTAAACACGTGTATAAACATATATATATATCAGTGCTAATGACATGCAATGCATTACAAATGTTTAATATTTAAAATGTTTTGATGCTTTATTTAATTGATATTATTATATTATTATTTCGCAATGTCCTTCTAATTATGACATCTTGTTTATAGTTTACAAATAAGATCTTATAATTAGGAAAGGAGGTAACATAATGCATAAATTGGGAAAAATAAATTTTGAGATCTTTTTATTTTCCAATAGTAGTACTCTGATCTCCTAACTCTGTTATTATCCTCTCTTTATTTATTTAATTTTTGACTGGACCATTATTTTTAATTTTTCAATTAGATAATGTAAACAAGACAACGCCAAAAATCAGGGGCTATGTCGATCGAGTGGGCTATAGAAGTTTTTGGTTAAGTAAAGGTAAATCAATTTTAGTTATAATGCTATTTGGCTTTTGTAAAATGTGCATATAACCTATCGTAATATTGATTGTTTTTTTTTCCCCTCTTTCCCCTGCTTGGTAGTCGAAAATATTGGAGTAGCTGAGTAAATTCATGCCATTTTAAAATTAACTCCTCCTCTTATTCAGTATTTCAAGAGATAATCTCTGGTGCCAGCGCGTCTACTCTTTTTTTTTTTAATTTAAAACATAGGTATCCTCTTATTTAAGGTACTATTAAGTATTAAATGAAATACCTCTTTTAATAGAAATTTAAATCTTAGTTTGTTACGCTGTAAGAGATTAGCTACCTCCACCACATTCAACCTCCATTAGTTCCAGGGCGCAAATCCTTGTACTAGCAAAATATTAAAAAAAAAATTATAACCTATACTATTTAAACTAAACAAAAAAAAAAAACCATGTAACACCCATTAGGTAAATCACAATTATTTTCTTTCGGACCAAGCAGTCCAACATCATATCATGCGAGCAAATGCCATAATCCAAATGGTAAGCGGTAAGTTTGCAGCGGGATGTTATATTTATGATTTATTTATAGGATAAAATATAGATTTACTACCTTTGGTCAGATTACAAACAGAAACTTATAATTAGGATCGAAGGTAGTAGTACTTTAATTTTATACAAAGTTTTAATTTGATTTTATAAGTCCCCATTTGTAGTCTGTAGACTACAAACGGGAGTTTATAATTAGGACCGAAAGTAGTAGTATTTTAATTTTATACAAAGTTTTAATTTGATTCTTTAACTTTAAAAAACATACTTTTAACTCTTTAATTTTAAAATTGTTGGCAAACAAATAATGACATTAAAATCTTGATAAAACATTTTTAAATGCTAGCATTTTAAACAGATTGTTACAAAAAGTTATCATTTAAAATTAACAATTTAAGACTTAAAAGATAAAAATATATATATTTTTTGGTTAAGGGACGAATTAGAACTTTATATAAAATTAAAAGATTAAATACAAACTTTAGCTTTATTATATTTATACTTCCACTTGTTAGTGGAACAATTTTTTGTTATGTTATTACATATTTTTTACAAATTGATTATTTTCAACTAATTTTATGATAACCTTTGATTGATTTAATTATTTAGATACCAATTTATTGATATTATTTTTAATTGAATCGATCAATTCGATTTAGCAACTGCGGCGTCTATTATGTCAATTAAAGGAGATTCTCTCCCTCATTACACATAACGTGACGAGCAATCATTAAGTCTCTAAACCGTGTCATAATATATTTTTTGAAAAATCACAGCGCGTTCTTATAAAAAAATGTAAATAAAAAGCTAATATAAACCCAAATCAATTTATACCTATCGGAATTTTCATTCCACTAAGTTATTGTGAGATTTTTTTTTATTTTGATATATTCGTTTTATTGTGAGATTTTTTATAATTATTTTTTTTGGAGGTCTTACAATAATTTACGGGGTATTATTGATAATTATGAAATGAACAATAATACTAATAGTAGTATATGATTTGTCGGTATAACTCAAGCGGGTGCTCATGAAGTGCGTGTGGTTTCTGCTTTACTTTTCTGCCATGAAATCAAGAGCCGAGTCACATCCCCCTTTGACATTTTGCAAAGTCAACCCCCCTAATTCCCAAAACTGCTTTCACATCTAGAGAGAGAAAGTTGTGAGAGAGAGAGATACGCATAGCATCGAGATGCCAATTTGCCAACCACTTCCAAAAGAATAACAGCGCCTTCTTTTTCATTTTCCTTATTAAATTATATACAGTCCTAGCTTTTCAAAAGATTCATTACATTTTTTTTTAATTTGTTTTTTACATTATACATTAAATTTATTTTTTTATTGCTCACAAATTTTATTAGAAACAAATAAAATTGTATAAGTTTTTTTATGCAACATGTGAAAAGATGAAAAAGACAATAAAATTTTTATTTAAAATCTTATGATATCTGCGTAGTTCTTCGTCTATTTTGTCAAAAAAAAATTGTATGAAATTTGAAAATACAACGCCTGTATAATTTTAATAATAAAATCCCAAAAATTCAAAAAGAATTAGTAGTATAGAAGTTTTAAAAATAAAAAATTATGAGATCGGAGTAATTTACTCTTGACTTTTTACTTTTCTTTATTTATAATTGGCACTCTCTCACAAAACGAGACAGTGTGAACCTGAATTGAAAAACAACCCACCAACTTTCTCTCTCTATATAAACATCCCCATTCTCGCTCATTGCACCTTATCATCTCTCCCTCTCTCCCTCTCTCTCTTCTCGCAAAAAGTCAGCGCCTTCTTTTGTCTTTCTCTCTCAAAGCAGCACGGTGCTGCTGACATTTTTCAGAGCCTGTCTCTAGTTGCGGTTATGGAGGACGATTGGGATCTGCACGCCGTCGTCAGAGGATGCTCCACCGTCTCCTCCTCATCTTCCTCCGGCTCTTCCTCCGCCGTCACCGCCACCTCCTCAGCATCTTCCTCTGTTTTTGGGCTTCCTATGTTTGTTGGGACGGAAAAAGTTAGCCAGGTCTTGCCCCTCTCAGATTTAGACCCTCTTGAAGCCAGACCTTCTTCCTCCATTGAAGAATTGCACGAGCTCTGTAAGCCTTTCTTCGCCAAATCAACCAAGCCTCCTTCTTCATCGTCTTCTCTAGTTTCTCCCCTCTCTCCTTCTTCTTCCTCCTTCTCCTACAATTCTCCCTCTGCCCCCGCCAAACCTGTTCAGACACCGCACAAACAACAGAATCTGCAGCCTAAGAATAAGATGTCTCATCCTGGTCCTGTTTCCACTACCCCAAGATCTAAAAGAAGGTGAGTTGACAATTTCATCTTCACTTCTTTTCTTTGGCTGTTTCCTGAGAAAAGTAATGCCTGTGACTCATGATCTCTCTGTGTTATCTTCCATTACGCAGGAAGAATCAGCTTAAGAAAGTTTGTCAGGTTCCAGCCGAGTCTCTCTCCTCTGATATCTGGGCATGGCGGAAATATGGCCAGAAACCCATCAAAGGCTCTCCATATCCGAGGTAATTCTTGGACTGTTCACCATTATTTTGCCTATAACTCCTCAAGAATTTATTCTGTGAGTTGAATTTGGTGCAATTTTGGATCCGAATTAGGATTCTTAGTGCAGAAAAAAGAAGCTATAATGATATGATTTATGGCTTAATTAAGCTTCGTTTCGTTGTGTGATGAACAGGGGATATTACAGATGTAGCAGCTCGAAAGGATGCTTGGCTCGGAAACAAGTCGAGAGGAACAGATCGGACCCATCGATGTTCATAGTCACCTACACGGCGGAGCACAACCACCCTGCTCCTACTCATCGGAACTCTCTCGCCGGTTCCACCCGCCAGAAGCCCTCGACAACCGCCGGCGATGGCTCCGGCTCCGGCGTTGAAACAGACAAAGCCCCGGCGAAAGTCGGTTCTCCGGCGACCTCTGGTGTGGAAGAAGAAGACACAGTACCTCAAAGCACAGGCCTCGAAAGCAAGGTGGAAATGGAAGATTTGATGGAGGAAGAGGAAGACGATGAGCTTGGGTTATCAGATTCGGTGTTAACAGATGATTTCTTCGAAGGGTTAGATGAACTTACGGGGCCGTCACCTCCGGCGGCGGAGCCCATTCCCGGAGACTGCTTCGCCGAACCCTTCTCTACTGGTTTCACTCTCCCGGCGTGGCCGACAACAAACGCTGCCGCCACCACCGCCGGCGGCAATTGTTGATTCATTTGGTGGCTCTCTGCGTACAAGTGACATGTGATCTGCTGCATATATACAATGATTCAGATTTAACTTGTACATTTAGAATTCATTATGTGCAGATCAAATCTGGTTCATTGCATGTATGTATTAAAAAACAGTTGACATTTTTTTCAAAAATGTTTTTAGTTTTAAATTTTCTGTAGAGGTGGAACAATTTGGAGGAATCTTCACTAACAAATGGAAGAAAAGTTGCTTGTCTTCCATAATTTCCAGTACAGTGAGAGCTGAAGAGAAGGTAGATTAGGGATTTTATGTCTTTGTTAATTAATATCAGTAGAATTAATTAAGGAATTGTTAGCGAATGATATCTTTGATATGTTTAATATTTATAATCCAAATTTAAATTTGATGGGCCTTTATAGCATTTTGATCGAGCTGACTGATTTGTGGTGTTTATAAAAATGTTATTGCTTTTGGTGAATTTGCTTTTACTTTAATTTAATTCAGTTAGGGGTTGACTTTTCTTTGGCATATGTAAATATGGCATCGTCTGACTTTCCTACGGGCGTTGAGATTCTTTGTTTGTAGGTAAACTAAATTTAAAAAAAAAAAAGTTAGTATTAAGTTAAATGTATTTTATCTGACCAACATTAAATGAAATCTCTATGAAATTACACGTGGCAATAAAAAATTAAGGGAAATTTGCATTAAGTCCCAGAGAGAATTAAATATAAAAAAAGTATTTTTAAATTATCAAATTAATTTGAAGTCTTAAAAAATTTCATAACAAGAGATTTTACGTGTTTAATTACTAAGTTGTCCTAATTATTAAGTTGAAAATATCGTGAATATTATGAAAAAAAATACAAAATAAGGCAAAAAAAATTTAGATAAGTTACGGCTTATGAGTTTATCAATATTAAAACATGCTTTTGAGCTCAAAACACACCAATGAAACATTCACATCAATCAATAATGATAGCTCGCTTTAATCAAATTCTATATATACTTTTTTGGGTTTTATTTATAAGGACCTTCTAGCATATTTCATATAGATCAGAAAAAATCTTGAATTATATTAACTATCTATTAACATATAATAACTTTTTAACTTTCTTCTTATTTAATATAAACACTTTTTTTAAAAATTATTTATATTGTGATAAGTAAAGGATAAAATAATACATTTATACTAAAAATTCAATAAAATAACTTATAAATAGGATAACAGAATTTCTCTCTCTACCTTTTGAATATGATTAGAGGAGTATTTGAATTGTAGAACATTTATAATTTTAATTGTTTATTCGTCATGAATTAAGTTCTTTTTTTAACACACACATATTAAAAGGTTGTACAGAGAGCTACGTAATTGTTGGATGCTTATTCCATTGGTACTGTGTGTGGCCACCAATTGGCAACTGCTGAGACGTGAAATTAATTAAGAGATGAAAATTGGAGAGGGAATTAGGTTCTAATTCCCAGGAACATCCATTTTACCAATTGGTGCCTTGGACCTTTTTCCCCAGCACACCGTGGAATATAATAAAACAAAAATTAAATTTTGATTAATACCAGTAAAGCTCTCCTCCTCATTGACGGTTCAATTTCCGTTCTCAATCCAATTGAGAAAACTTTACCACTTTATCATTTCAACTTTATACTCCATTCATGACCAGTAAATTTCTTAATATTAAAACCACTTAATTAATTAATATGTGTAGATTAACAAAATCAGATAAATTAGTTAATTATAATAAATGTGACATAATTTTTTAAAAATATCCCTACATAATGTTAGATCATATAACAACTAATAAGTTATATAAATTAGTTTCCAAAAATAATAAATATCAGAAACAAAATGAGTTTAGATATCATGCTCATGACAAAATTCAACCTTCAATTAACTCATACATTAATGATGAGGAGTAATATTTCTTCTATTTATTATTATAAGGTATTTTTAATAAATACATTAAATATCAAGATAAAAATATTAATCACTCTGAAAATATGATAAAATTCCTTGAAAAATATGCTGCTATAAAATTCATAGAGTAGGATGGCATTTATATTTTCAATTTTTAATTAAATAGTAAAAAAAAAGAAAAAGAAATGGGGTGACTTCAGGAAAACGAAACAGGCCGAAGAGGCAAAGCAGTTCACGTAAGCCCAATACGCATGGCCTGAGGAGAGAGCGCCACGTCAGCGAGAAGATAAAATGGTAGGCATACCAATTCAGTTTGTCCGGTTCGATTATCAATTATTTTATGTGATCTTCATTTCTGAGTGGATTGGGTCTATTCCTCTAAACTCAGCTTCCACCAATTAATATTCATGCATAATTTTGCACTTTGTGAATGTGAATAATAATGACCCTTAAGACTTTTATCACTTGCCACAACAAGCTTAAGATTTATTTATTTTGATTTCATCATCTAAGCTAGTGCTATGTTATATATATTCAAATTCGTACAAACAAAATTAAGGAATCGGATTAATTTTTTTTAGATATTAAATTTGGTGGATAAAAATTAGAATCTAATACCCTACAAACAAGTCATATTTTGAAACCTTTTTATTTTTTTCCTAAAGACGTTGCAATAATTTATATTTGACATGTTGAGAAACGTCAGGATATTCTTCGTAAAAACTATATTATATATAAAATAATAGTAATGGTAGTTCATTTTCAAACTTAAGTGACGTTTAAAACCACAGCTAAAGTCAATCACAACAAAAGCTCAACACATTTCCGACCTGGAAACACTCATAAAGGACAATATGTAATAGTTGGGAAAAAGAAGAAGAAGACAGTGTACCAAAATTTAAAGTCAACCTATACCCAGACACAGTTCTGCTTATGCTATTTCCATTCTTAATACAAGAGCTAGTTGATTAATTTGAGTATATTAATAAAATTAACTAACTTAGTTATTTGTAATAAATATGTATTGTCTTTTTTAAAATACTTTTGCTAATCAAGTGTTATTTGATGAAATATTTAACACGTGTAATTATTACAAGAACTATTTTAAAAAAATAGATAAATACTACCTCTGGTTCTAATTATAAATTTTATTTTTAATTAGACCAATGGTGTGTGAGATTCAAAATAGAGTGGGGTTTTATATTTAAAACCAAATTAAAAGGTAAACTAACTCTTATATTAAGTAGTAGAAGTAAGGATTTATAGGCCTAAAAGGAAGACAAGAAACCTCAATCAACACCTGGGATTTATATTAAGCAGCAGAAGTAAGGATTTATGCGCTTTGTTTTGTTCTTTCTTCTTGTTCCATCCCACTTGTCTAAGTCAGATAGTTCCTTGCTTAGGCGCCCGCACACACACATATATTCACTTTTCACTTAGGGTATTTGAATTATCTTTTTAAAAATGATTTTACGAAGTTTAAAGTGAGTATGTGAAACGACTTTTATCTTGTCTTAGTTAAAAGTATTTTTTTTCAAAAGTGTTTTTACTCTATACCAAACACTCCTTTAACATTAATTCACATGCTTATCATGCAATTTCATGCTTAAATAAGACTTGAAAAGGTGAAAGCATCTGTTGGACCAAACGACTCTATCGTTAAAATTTTATAGTGAATTATTAGTCGTTTTAAAATCAGACTGATAATTTAGCTGAAAGAAGATAAACTTGTAAAAATTGTGAGCGAGATAACTTATAAGTGAACTCCCCATAGCTCTCAATTCTCAAACTCTCAAATTCAGTCTTGGTACGAAATTTTTCATGTCATATTATCAGACATAAACTGATCGATCAACCGCTTCAAATAATTAATTAATACTAATAAACAATTGGATATTCCAACATTAACTCTGTCTTGTTCAAGAACTAGTCCACTATTTAGCAGATAAATGAGGGGTAAGCAAACGTTTTTTTTTCCTAAAAAAAATTATTGTAGACAAAGACGAGGAAGTTTGTAGTTCTGCAATATTCTTTATCACCTTCCAAACAGGTCCCCCCCCCCCCCAAAAAAAAAAAACATTTTGCAAGCTTACATGTTTAAAAAACTGGTGTGATTAAAAATTCTATAATCTGAATAACTTTCCAAGAAGCACTTCTGTACGTATCTGAAAATATGGATACATTCCAGAATCACTGAATAGATGCCACCATGCATTCCACTGATTCGGATGATTCTTTTACTTTCTGAGCTGCTTCATATGCTGCCGATGCCGCCTTGTCCAAACCTAGCCTTTGCAATTCATTTAGAAAATCATTAACATCTGTGTCATTGATCTTATATGGGCTGTGAGCAGGACCTGGAAATGAGCCATTTGTCACTTCTTCCTTGTACTTCACTAGGGCTTTATTGATGACCTCTCCAACACAAGCATAGTGTTTGCTGAATTTTGGAGTGACCTGCAGCAGCAGATCCACAGAGTTCATATTATGTTTTATATAATTCTGCTCGTTGTGTTTAAACACTGGTATCTATAATTGGGTTTAATGCTGCTGTTTACTTAAAGAGATTGCCTCTGATATAAACTTTCTTGAAAGAAAAACAATAGCTGTGCATGGACGAATCTCTATCTAGTCAAATAATAAAGGAAAGAAGAAAACTTGGGCTGAAAGTTGCCAGAAATACCTTTGCATGATGGGGATGTTGCAGCGTACCAATCAAATCATGATAAACTAGCGCCTGCATGAACATTAAAGTAAATGAAATTGGAAAGTTTGTGCAACTAAATAATCAAGTTCTGGAAACCGAGATTCTTAGATGATTTTCCGTTGGATCAAGCAGATAATACTAGTGGCTAAATTGTATACAGAAGGTAGTTTCACTTTCAGCGGCTAAAATACAAGGTAAAGAATTGTGAGTTTATACAGTTTGCTTCATCATCTCACTCTTAGATTCATTGAGGCATAATTAGAGATTTAATAATAGCTACTTGTAGCTCTTAACGCGAACGTTAACTGAATAAATCTAAATGCAGAAGTGGACATTTTATGTGAGAGCATCAAATTTATTGTGACAGGGAAAGCCACTTGATGAAGAATAAGTATCTTAAAATCAAGTAGGAGTCAAGTGACTTTGAACTGAAAAGAAACATCAGTATGAATCTGGGCCATTCAACTCTTCGAGAAAAAGTAAAAACAAAACACAGAATATTAGGTACGAGCTAGGACTATTAAGGCAGCTAATTAACCTGTCCACTGCAAAATGGACCAGCCCCAGCTCCAATTGTGGGTATTTGAAGGGCTGCGGTGGCTGCGGCGGCTGCGGCAGCCACAGGTGGAGGCACGCACTCTAGAAGAACAGAGAAACATCCAGCTTCCTGCAAAGCCAAAGCAGTCTCTACAACCTGCACAGATTATAGAAGTTTCTTTTTCTATTCAGGAACTTAGAGAAATTGTTCTCGTAAGTCTCAAATAGATGGATTGATTTGAGAGAAATGGACCTTGACAGCACTAGAAACAGTCTTTCCCTGAGGCTTGAAACCCCCTAAAACACTAATGGCTTGTGGAGTCAGTCCCACATGTCCTATGACAGCAATTCCAGCTTCAACAATGGCTTTTGCTGCTGCAATTCTCGAAGGTGCCCCTCCCTCCAGTTTTATTGCATCCATTTCTCCTTCTTTTAATATGCGAACTGCTGTGTCAATTGCCTGTTTATGATCAAAATGGTTATGAAAATCCCATTTAATATGCATATTTGTAGTTCTGGAGAAAGCGCGAACTTCTGGATGAGGAGCCAAAGCTTCATAGGTCCTAAACGCACCTGACTAGTGCTGGATTCGTAGGTTCCAAACGGCAAGTCTCCTACCAGAAGTGGCCGCTTAGCGCCACGAGCGACAGCACGGCAATGAACGAGCATTTCGTCGAATATTAAGGATATGAGGTGGTATTTAATTTGTTTATTGTAGTATACCTTTTTACGAGTGATTTTGTCGTGCATGTGAATCATGATGCAGTCGTTTTAATATTTGTTTGTTAATACAATACTAATATTCCATTTTGTCACGAGTGATTTTGTCTGGCATGATGCACATGCATAAATAAGCGATTGAATAACTAAATTTTAATAATGAAAAGATTGTGTTGTTGAGCTCTACTACCTCCATTATGCAGAACAAATCGTCGAATATACGATTATAAAGAAGAGCTGGTCATCTCAAAACAAAATCCATTTCAAATTTTTATGGATGCACATGATCCATGAGGACAGGATAGGAAGTCCACATGATTTGCTCTGAAAAATGAAAATATTATCCACCATTTTAAAATGCTCAAAAACATAATCGAGAGCACAAGATCATGAGAAGGGACGGCATTATCCTCTTTTCATGCTTTTGATTTGGTCACCGAAATCAAATAGCAAATCATCCAATATTGATTTGGGCCCATTAGAATCTCTGGCAATTTTGCAAAAGGAAAACCAGGTACCTATACTTTCTCTTAATTTTTAATTTGGTACTATATGTTTTTTTTCTTTAATTAAACATTTAATTTTATCTTTTTAGCAACATTAGCTCTTATAATTTTGTTCTATTGATATTTTTAGTCTCTACATAAGGATTAATGATGTTAATAGAGCAAAATTAAAGATTTAGTTAAGAACAAAAAACACATATGTACCAAATTGAAAATTGAAAAAAAGTATAAGTACTTCCAATATGGTTTTTCTTTTTGCAAAATCACTTCATAGCTGTTAGCTGGTACAATCGATTTCTCTTGTTCATTCGAATCAACTTTATTAGTAGGTGATCTGTAAGTATATCTATAAATACTCTCTGAGCATGGAGACATGTTCTGATCCTAATGAGTCCTGGGGATCCAACTCACTTAAATTTTTTTTGTACAAAAAAGAAAAAGATTTCTCTTGTTCAGAACCATGAATAAGCATGATTTCTTCCTTAATATATATTCTTTATATTTTAATTAGTTGGTAAGCACCAAAATCACTTATTTGATTCGCTGGTTGAAAAAAAAGAAAATCACTTGTTCGGTTATCCATCATACATAAACTTGTGTGTGATAAATTAGTACAATACCCAGTGGATGGATGTTCATGCTAATTTTTGCACGTTTAATTTTCCATTTTACTGTTATTTCTCTTCAAAAATTCATTTGTGTTTTCACAGCCGCTGGCAAAGATTTAGGTGTTTTGATTTTACCACCTAAGCTAGCATGTTCTAATCAATATGTCGTACAAACAAAATTGAGGAAACAGATTCTTTTTTTTTTAAAAAAATTCATTGGGTAAAAATGAGAATCTAATGTTCTACAATGAGAGTAATATTTTGCGCCCCTTTAATTGACATATTGAGAAACACCAATAAATGCCTTGTAAATGCTACATTTTCAAACTTAAATGACGTTTAAAGCCACGGCTAAAGTCAATAGCATAAACCCAACACATTTTAGGCCTAAATAAACTCGTATAAAAGGACAATACATTACAGTTGGTCAAAAAAAAAAAAAAACACAAGAAGACACCATTGACTATATCAAAAGGTCAACCTGTACCCTTCTGCTTATAGTATAGTCTGTTCGAGGGAGGGATTCAAAGTACCAGAAAAGGAAAGACAAGAAACGTTAATCAACACTGGGATTTATACATTTTTGGCACTTTCCTCTTGTTCTTCCTTCATGCTCCCACATAACTTGTGATAGCTCCTTATTTAGGCAAATATTTTTTTTCCTATATTCACTCAAAAGAAGAAATTCATGCATTCATCGTAGTCATGAAGAGTTGAACATGTAACCTAAAGCTAAAATAAAACTTAAAAAAGTGCTTAATATTATTTGGTTCCTAATGCTAAAATAAAACTTAAAAAAGTGCTTAATATTAGTTGAACCAAATGGTCCCGAATTTAAATTATTTTATCGTAACTTCTTGGTGATTTTAAAATTGGATTGATAATTTAGCTTATGGAAAATAGATTTATAAATCATCGGGGATCTAACACTTGCTCTGTCTTGCAATACTGGGGCCGGTGCCATCTTGAAATTCAGTGCTTCATTACGCTCTCTTCTTAGTGTTCTTATTGTTGGCGATATAGTGCTATTTGTACAGTCACATATTTGAGTTCAGCACCACAAGGACTTGCTTGTTGAAGAATTAGTCGATTATTTAGCTGAAAAATGATGGGTGAGTATGCCTTGAAGGATTTTTTCTGAAAAAGAAAAACTGTAGACAAGGAACAAAATATTTGAAGTTCTGCAATTCTTTATCACCTTCCAAACAGTATCCCTCCCTTGCAAACTTATATGTTTCAAGCTGTTCCATAAACCCCGATTTGGTCCTAAAAAACTAATGTGATTATCAATTCGATCATCTAAACAACTTTTTGTGCAACACTTCTGTATCTGACAATATGGATGCATTCCAGAGTTGCTGAATGATACCATGCAATCTTTTTTAGCCATCAAATATCCTATAATGCTGAAACAAGAATCATATTTTCAGGTACTAAAGCGATACAAAAAGTATCTATAGAGTATAGCATTGATATAGTCCACCTGCCTTGAGATAGTAGCGACTATCTGTTACCTTTCTTTGAGCTATGTTATTGACTGTAGTGTTGTGAAGGAGGGATTCGAGGGAAAAGGAAGAATGGCCTTTTAAACTCTTCCTATACCATTCACTTTGAGGGATTTTCTTCCACTGATTTGGATGATTCTTGTACGTTCTGAGCTGCTTCACATGCTGCCGATGCCGCCTTGTCCAAACCTAACCTCTGCAATTCATGTAGAAAATCATTAACATCGGTGTCATCGATCTTGTATGGGCTATGGCCAGGATCTGGAAACGAGCCATTTGTCACTTCTTCCTTGTACTCCAATAGGGCGTTATTGATGACCTCTCCAACACAAGCATACTGCTTGCAGAATTTTGGAGTGACCTGCAGAAGCAGAACCACGGAGTTCATGATAGGTTTTCTACAATTCTGCTCATTGTGTTTAAACACTGGACGGATCTATAATTGGGTTTAATGTTGTTTTCTTTAAGAGATTGCGTTTGAATACAAATTTTCCTGAAGAAAACAATAGTTGTGCATAGACGAATCTCTATCTAGTCATATAATAAATGAAAGAAAATGGGCTAAAAGTTGCCAGAAATACCTTTGCATGATGGGGATGTTGCAGCATACCAAGCAAATCATGATAAACTAGCACCTGCATGAACATGAAAATGAAATTAGAAAGTTTGTGTAACTAAATAATCAAGTTCTGGAAACAGAGATTCTTAAGATAATTCTGGTCCATTAGAAATATATAAGCCAAGCAAATGTAGAAGCCAGTCTCACTAAAAGTGCGCCAAACATGCTAAAAGTACATGTGCATGTTTGGTTAGTTTACTAATCTTTTGAACACCATTCTACCAAGGAATTTGTCTTCTAGAAAAGAGGAAAATCATGATAAAGAGCTAAGGCATAGTTCAGTAAGAAGTAAAGAATTCATATTGCACCTATGTCATTGAAATTGGCCCTTCAATATTTCTAGGTTTATTATTCGGAAATTGGAAACATGTAAAGAATATCCACTGGGTAGAACATGAGAAAGGGATGGCTAGATCACTCTCCTGCATAGGTACAGATACTGAAGAAATCACAAGGTGCAAAGGATTCAACAGAAGATAGTATTACTGGCTAACTTGTGCACAGAAAGTAATTTCAGTGGCTAAAATATAAGGTATAAGATTGTATATTTACACAGTTTGCTTCATCATCTCACTCTCACATTCATTGATGGCATAATTAGAGATTTAATAATAGGTACTAGCAGCTCTTAAGGCCAATGTTAACTGAGTATGTCCAGATCAGAAGTGAACATTTTATTTTACCCAAAAAAAAAAACAAAAGAAAAGGCGAACATTTTATGTGAGAGCATCAAATTATAGTGACAGGGAAAGCCACTTGACGAAGAATAAGCATCTTAAAATCAATTAATGGTCAAGTGACTTTCAACTGAAAAGAAACAATAGTATGAATCTAGGCCATTTAACTCTTAGAAAAAGAAAACATCAAGCATAGAATATTAGGTACGAAGACCATTAAGCTAGCTAACCTGTCCACTGCAGAATGGACCAGCCCCAATTCCAATTGTGGGTATTTGAAGGGCTGCGGTTGCTGCAGCAGCCACTGGTGGAGGCACACACTCTAAAACGACAGAGAAACATCCAGCTTCTTGGAAAGCTAAAGCAGCCTCTACAACCTACGCAGAAGTTTCTTTCAGGACCTTAGAGAATATTGCGCAAGTCTCAAATAGATGGATGTGAGAGGAATCGACCTTGACAGCACTAGACACATTCTTTCCCTGAGGCTTAAAACCTCCTAACACACTAATGGCCTGTGGAGTCAGTCCCACATGTCCTATGACAGCAATTCCAGCTTCAACAATAGCTTTTGCTGCTGCAATTCTTGAAGGTGCCCCTCCTTCCAATTTTATTGCATCCATCCCCCCTTCCTTTAATAGACGAACAGCTGTATCAACTGCCTGTTTATAATCAAAAGGAGCAGTAACACATTAAAAAAAAAAAAAACTTAATTCCAAAATAGTCCCTAAAGACGTCATAAGAATTAAGCCATTTTGAAGGACATTTTGGGGTTCCCATACTTTGATGGTTGTTAGATGTCTTTCTCCCTATCCCCTATTCCAAACTTCTATGTTCCTTTTGACCACCCACAAAAGGAATCTATATTGGTCTGAGTTGTAATTACACAAGAAATAAAACAAAATCTTCTTTTATCTTTGTTGTCAATGTCAATTTCAGCTAAACTAACTCAGTTCTCACAGCTGCTATAAAAAGCATATTTTGAACAAACTTTATTCTGAGAAAAGGTTAATTGTGTTTTCAACTTTAGAAGAAATACACCGAACCTCCTCTCTACCACCCGGACAAAATTTTAGGTTAAAAGGACAACTTCTTTATCGAAACTTAAAAGCAAGGTTAACAAGACTCATTGCATAATTTTGTCGCAACAAAAATGGCTATGAAAAGCATATTTGCATATTTTTTTGCTCTGAAAAAAGCGTGAACATCCGGAGGAAGAAACAGAGCTTCCTCATCAACAAAACAAGTAGGATTTCAAGCTCATTAGGCAAACACCACACTTTTCTCTAAACTAAGCCAATTAAACAATTAACCAAAGTAAACGCACCTGACCAGTGCTGGATTCGTAGGTCCCAAACGGCAAGTCCCCTACCAGAAGTGGCCGCTTAGCGCCACGAGCAACGGCACGACAATGAACGAGCATTTCGTCGAGAGTGATCGGCAGAGTGGTGTCGTGTCCATGAACCACCATGGATGCCGAATCCCCGACGAGACAGACATCGACACCGGCAGTGTCTAAGTGCACCGCCGACGGGTAATCATATGCAGTGACCATGGTGATGGGTTCGCCCCTTCTATGCTTCTGCCTCAGGTAGGTCAGCGTCACTCTCTTGATCGAGCTCTGGGAAGTGGGTCCCGAATACACAGTGTTTTCAGGGACGTTGCTCAAGCAACGAAGGTTCCGGAGAAGAGGTGAACAAGATGATGAAGAAGAAGCTCTTCTGAGAAGAGAGGTGAAGAAGGCCATTTTGGAGAAAAATAGGGGGAAACGAATTGGGAAGTGGCGGGCTGGCGGCAAGAATGGTGCTTTGCACCTGTTGCAGAAGTATTTAATGGGAGCAGCATTTGTTTTTAATATTTATTTATTTTATTTTCAAGTAATCAAACGGTTTGCCGCGATTGCACTCGCGACACAAAATGTCTGTACTCTACGCGCCTGCTTCAAGGCTTTGCTCCCTCCGTTATCGTTCTCTTGCAGTATCATCTGCTACGCAGTCGCTAATACAAAATCTTACCTTCCCTAAGCAGTCCTTCGTATATTCTCGCCGGAGCTCACTCCATATCGTCTCTGTGATGAAAGGAGAAAACTCCACATCTTCAGCCTCTAAATCGGAGCATGTCTCCGGCAACTGGTACTCTGTACCGGAGCTTCGGCTTCGTGATCATCGATTCACTGTACCTCTAGACTACACTCTTGATCTTCATTCCTCTCCCAAGATATCCGTTTTTACTCGTGAAGTTGTTGCAGGTATCCCTTACGACAAAATTATTTTCACTTCTGATTTTTTTTTAAAAATGTTTTCGCTTGGTGCAAACAAAATAATCGACTTTAGCTGCATTTGTTTTCAGTTAATTGATCTTGTGGATCTTCTGTCATAGAGATTATAGGATTCAATGCAAATTTTCCAGTTACTTTTTTCCTTGGTTGCGTTGTACAAATATTCTGTTGTTGACTTTATACGGAAAAAAATCTTGCTGGGTGAGTAACTGTGTAAAACGAAGTTATCCCAGAAACATTCATTTTAAGCTATGAATCCAGATTCCGATGCCAAATATTCTATTGGATAGAGAATCAACTAATGAGTGTCCGGGAGCCGAATTAGCATTATAGAGTTCTCATGAAGTGCTTGCTGGCCATCTAGATTGTACTATTGTGATGCTAATTTTATATATGGAAGATTTTAGTTGATCATGACTCTACCCCATCTTTAAAATTTGAACTTCGAAGAAGTTGATCATGTTTACTCTTCGTTTTCCTCCTCCTCTCACTAAAATGCTTATTTGAAACTCTAATTTTAAGAAATGAAGACGCATCGTTTGGGTGGAAAAAAAAAGATTATTTTAGTCCCTCAGGACAAGGTAGGAACTAGGAAGTCCACATGTTTGTTCTGGATCCATTTCACCGTAACTTCCCGAAGTGGAACCTGATCAGTTGGATGAAGATTGTGAACATGGTTATTAATAGCGCATAGGTCATTTGTAGCCCAAGGAACTCCAAAATACTTTAGCGCTGAGCAGATACTATTACGCCAGCTATGTGAAAATATCATACGCAATTTTAACATGCTCAAAGTATAATCAAGAGCACAAGATGATAAGGGTGGCGTTATCCTCTTTTCATGCTTTTGATTTCGTGGACGAAATCAAAATGAATTATCCAATATTGATTGTCCAAGGACGGGTCAATTGAATCTGTAACAAGTTTGCAAAATCCCTTCAGATCTGTTATGGCGTATTTTATATGTAGTGCCTGAAGTGGAAGCTATAGCCACACAAAAAAGTGGTTCTCGTAATGGAGCTAAATGAAAGTCATAATGCTACGCATCTGACATTTTGCTGGGAGCTGTTCTGCTTAGCTAAAGCTATGATGTGGTATTAATAACTATGATTGCGTATATAATCAAAATGCCACTAAAAAGTGCTTCGTCATTCTGGCAATGGCAACTTGAGCAAAATCGATTTCTCTTGTTCAGAACTATGAATAAGCATGATTTGTTCCGTATTGTATATTTTTTGTAATTTAGTTAGTTTGTACGCACCAAAATCACTTATTTGGTCATCCATCATACAGAAACTTGTCTGTGATAAATTTAGTGCCATGCCCGATGGATGAATGTTCATGCTAAGTTTTACATGTTTAATTTTCCATTTTACCCTGTTATTTCTCTTTAAAAGTCCATTTGTGCTGTCACAGCTGGCAAAGAAGAGCAAACATTGCCATGCCTACTATATTTGCAAGGTGGACCGGGGTTTGAGTGTCCGCAGCCAACTGAATCCAGTGGATGGATTCACAAAGCGTGTGAAGACTTTCGTGTCATCTTAATGGATCAGGCATGATTTGCTGGACCTTTGCATCATCCTCTTCTTTGTCCTATGAAGTTTTGGTTTATCACTCATTCAATTTCCTATGCATGTTTTTGCAGCGAGGAACAGGCTTATCTACTCCCTTGACAGTGTCATCAATGTCACAGTTCAAGTCTGCAGATGAATTAGCTGATTACTTGAAACATTTCCGAGCTGATAGTATTGTAAATGATGCAGAGTTTATTCGAGTGCGTGTTGTTCCAGATGCAGGGCCTTGGACAGTTTTGGGGCAGGTATTCACATCACTTTTTCCTATTGGTTTTTATGTGAACGAGTGCTGAGGCCTAACTAGTGTTCCTTGGAATGCTGCTTCTTTTTTATATTTTTCTCCTAAATTGCTCCTACTGTAAGTTTCATATTTTAGATAGTTGTTTTATGATCATTTGGTTTGATTTGCTTTTAGAATATTGAAACTAAACCTGAGTATTCAATAACTTCTTACACTTTCTTCCTTCTGTGTTCTTGCAACTGTTGCAGAGCTTTGGTGGCTTTTGTGGGGTCACATATTTGAGTTTTGCACCACAGGGACTGAAACAAGTCCTTCTAACAGGAGGAATTCCTCCAATTGGAGATGCTTGTACTGCAGATTCTGTATACAGGGCATGCTATGAGCAAGTTATATGCCAAAATGACAAGTACTACAAAAGATATCCCCAGGATGTCAAAATTGTTCAAGAGCTGGTTAATTATTTAGCTGAAAAGGGAGGGGCAAGTATCTGCCTTATCGGATTTTCTTATTGTTGTTGATGTGGAAAATACATGCAAAGTTGTTTCAGTTGCTTATTACTTCTTTTTTTAGGTGACGCTTCCATCTGGGGGCATATTAACCCCCAGAGGACTCCAGACTCTTGGTCTCTCTGGCTTGGGATCTGGAGCTGGGTTTGAGCGCATGCATTATTTGTATGAAAATAGTACCTTTTTAATCAGCTTGAAATACCAAATTAATCTCCCCATTATGTTACAGGCTAACCTGTATACTTTATAGGTTTGAAAGAGTATGGGATCCCATTTTAGTTCCAGGAGCACCAAAGAGAATCAGCTACAACTTCTTAAGTTCTGTGAGTAATTAACCTCGAGATATAAATTTTGAATGCTGGATCTCAAGTTCCACATTGAAGATCACCGTCCGGGTTTTCATCTATGCAGTTTGAGAAGTGGTTGAGTTTTGACACAAATCCCCTCTATGCCGTCCTGCACGAACCCATCTACTGTCAGGTGGATACCATAATCCTTTTTCGTTTATTCATAATCTGTGGTTTTCTTTTATCTCTGATTCTCAATCTTTATCTCTCTGTAGGGTGCTCCTAGTAGGTGGTCTGCTAACAGAATAAGGGCAGAATATGAAAGCAAGTTCGATGCTATTAAAGCTGCAAGGGAAGGCCACCCTGTACTTTTCACAGCAGAGGTAAGATGTAAAATAAACATCATGTTCTTTGCCATATAAAAGCATCTTTAATGCATGCGTCATGGTTAATTCAGTGCTATTCAGAATATGATTCTTTGCGAACTTTGATTTCTAATATTTGATTTTTTAACTTTACCTTAACCGAAGGGAATTCAAGATTAGGTTTGACTCTAATCGTAAGATCACACAGAGACACACTCAAAATTATAGCTTCAGGCCTGCACCCACACTTGGACTTCCGTAATTTCATTGATCTTTGGTATAAATAATTCATGATCTTCATGATTTGTTATCTAAGAGTGCTTTTGATTCAGGGCATGAATAGGTTGAATATGAGCTGTAATGTATCGCATTTGTTTTCCTCTTTAAAGAATACTTTTCGTTTTCAGAGCTGAAGATCAATGTTTATTTCTTTAATTTCTTTTTACAAGAATCACATGTTGACCATGCTTATTTTCATTTACAGATGATTTTCCCGTGGATGTTTGATGAGATTCATGCTTTGAAACCATTCAAGGATGTAGCTCATAAACTGGCGGAGAAGAAGGATTGGCCTCGACTATATGACACTAAGGTGCTGAATAACAATAAGGTATACTGCTTTTACCCTAGCGTTTTGCGTAGAAATGTAATAGTATGTTGGCATCTCAAATCAGTCAAATCTTTTAATCTAAAAATTCAACAGCAATTATATTATATTTTATCCATATAATCCAGTTTCAATCGTTTCCTTATTAGTAAAATGGTTGGCAGTTTTGGTTTACAGACAAACAGGTATTTACAGACGTCATTGATTTGTGCATAGTAATATTAGCTTGGCATTCTGTTGACATGTGAATTGGGGATTCTTTTTTGTTCCACTTTTTGTCTGAAAAGCCAACGTTTACTGTATCTAAATTATCCAAATCCAAAATTTTAATCACTAGAGCTAATTTATTGTGGAAATTAACTGTGAAAATATGATACCACCTTTCATTATTAATGTGAGAAAAGAGAAAGCATGCAGAGACATTAATTACAGCAAACTTATACCGTGATGTATATGTTACCAATACAGGCAGTATTTATGATTCTATCGGATTACATTTAACAAACACTTGAAAATTGCATCATTTTTTCATTTGTTCGTGAAGATTATTCTGTTAAATTTCTCTGTTGCTAAATGAATTTGGATCAATGCCGGGTCAGGTACCTGTTGCAGCTGCTGTATATTATGAAGACGTATATGTGAATTTTAAGCTGGTCATGGAAACAGCTTCTCAGATAGCAGGGATTAGGCTTTGGATAACGAATGAATTCATGCATTCGGGCCTGCGCGATGGAGGGAGCCAAGTTCTTGATCATTTACTTGGTATGTTAAATGGTAAAAAACCTCTGTTCTGAATTTTGATCATTCCTATTGCTCCTTCTTTCCCCACTTTCTTTCTGGCCTTGAGATCTATGGCTTCTTAGCCGCCCTATGGTTTATAGAAAGAGAAACACAGTTTGTTGTTGCGGTGACTTGTTATCTATAATGTTATCAGATTCATTTTATATGTTTTCCTTATGAGTTGATCAGATCTCGATACTACACTAGAAGAAACCGACTTCCCCTGGGCTGGCATGTTTCTTTGGTGCTAGTTCAAGTGATAAAAATGAAATGTGAATGGCGACTATAATTTGAACCCATTTAATGCAGTGAAAAAGTACTCCTACACATAAGATCTGTCTGAATCAAATTCTTCAAGTGTAATATGGAAGTTTCTGGTTTGTCCGAAAAAAATTATGGGAAGTTTCTCAACGCAAGATCTCGTAAGTTTAAAATAAAGCCAATTTGGAATTAGAGTATTTTATTATAGGGTTAATATAATCTTTGGTCTCTCAAATTTGTTCTCATTTTGGTTTTATTCCTTAAATTTCAAATTATAGATTTTGGTCTTCTAAGAGACAAAATGGTCAAGTTTTTTAATTGGATTATTGAGACTAGTGTTTTAAATGAAAAGAAACTTAAGAGATCAAAATATATGGTTTGAAACTTAAAAGACTAAAATCAAAATGAAAATAAATTTAAAGGACTAGAGTTTGTATTAACTCTTTATTATACAAGTAAATTTAATTATTTAACTTTTCAAATAGAGTAAGAAAGAAAGGCCCCTTTAAGGCCAAGGGAACAGATGAGCGTCAAGTTATTCCCCACATCATTGATCATAAAAGTCTTTACAAGTTACAAATTACTATCCAACAGGAAGGTTTCGGCATTGACAATGGGATTTAAACCCATTTTTGAATGCAGCATGAGTTAAATTCTTAGATCAAATTTGTATTGGTCAATATCCAGTTGTTTATCTCTTTTTTTGGCCCTAAAAAAATTTGATAAGAAACAAAAACATGATTTGAATCTGAAATTGATTTAGTATAATTAGTAGTAATTACTGTAACTAGTCTTGAAAAAAGAGATGACAAGTCATTATAAATTTTACGCACGCTAGTATCCCACTGCTCTTTTTTGTGGTACAAATCTCAGTGGTCTTATTAGCGCCAGTTGAGAACTTAAGATAGACTTGCGTGTGCAATGCTTAACCCATTTGTTTTGGTTTTTAAGGCCATTTAACAAATTGGGCCCAACGCTGAAACACAAATTAGCCCATTTAGATATAGGATGAAAAAGACCAAGTCATCTAAATTTGGCTGGCTATTTTTTTTTAAAAAAACTATATATTTGAATTGATGCTAATTTTTTCATAATAGTTACTTCAAAATTATATGGTCAAATTGAATAAAAGTTCGTTAATATAATTAATTCAGCTAAATTTTGCTTACTTTTTGGGTGATTTTAATTTGAAGGGAACTGGGTGTATTGAGCAATGTAATAGTAGTACTAGTCATGTTCACTTCACTTGTTTGGGGAAATGCAAATTCTTCTATCCAACTTCCAACTCCCTTCCAACTTCCAACTCCCTAATTTGTTAATGGTTAGTTTTAGTTAATTGAATGCATTGAACTGCAAGATGGATGATGGCAAAAAGAAAAATAAGTAAACTGCAATATCGATGGAAGAAAAATTGACTCGCTGACGTGTCGTCCCTATTTCCTAGATCCTCATTGTTATTAATATTAACTGCCAACTCCCTATCCAAGGTGTTCCTTCTATGTCGTCGCTAATATCTTTCTCTCTCCTAAGCGATTGATTACTTGCAGAATCCAAACGCACAGGCAAAACTTTTGCAGGGAGCTATGAAATCAAAAATAGAATGACATGAGTGAAGAATTGCGGATTATCGGCTATCATTCCTCTCAGAATTAGTCATTAGTTAAAAAATATTTGATCGCATATTTGCCTTTCGCTGACAGATGGCGGGTCATACTTTTCCAAGCAGCTATTATCAGAATCAGATTGCGGCATTAGGAAGCGGAATGCCCATGGCTAAACCCTCGCTTTTCAGATCGGAGCTCCCGCCAATGGCCCCGGATCTCTCCTCCGAACGCTTCCGTGGGGTTGGTTCCTCCTCTCCCTCTAGACAACGCGACCTCGTGTTCGTCGTCAATCCTCGAGGTTAGTCTCTTTTTTGTTGTCTGTCTGGCTGCCGGGAAAATCTGTTGGGAAAAGAAAACCCATATTCTTAATGAGATATAAACTTGATGGCGGCCGTTAGATTTGAATTTTTTATACTGGGACTTCGGCGCAGGTGCTAATGGTCGGACGGGTAGAGAGTGGAAACAGCTTCTTCCATATCTGCGGTCTCGCTTTGGGAAAGAATGCAATGTGAGTTCTCTCTCTTTTGATGAAGTCTGCAAATACTGTGTCTTTCGTTTTTGTTTTAATTCATTAATTCACGTGTTGTTGCGTTTTGGTTTTGATAGATATGTGAATCCTTAACTTCAGGTCCTTGTCATGCTATTGACATAACGAGAGAGGTTGGTTTAAAGAAGTAGCGCTTGGAAATCGAATTTAGTTGGGTTTATTCTATTATATCTGCTGAGTTTTTTTTTCCTCGTTATTGTCACCCTATAATATGCAGGCAATACGAGAGGGGGCTGATGCAGTCATTGCGGTTGGAGGTGATGGAACTCTTCATGAGGTGCTAACATTTTCTGCATGCTTTCTTTTTCCCCTTCCATTAGAATTTCTTTTTTTTTTTTTTGGGAGGGGGGGGGGTTTTGTTTGTTTGATTGAGTATGCAGGCTGGCGGTATAAATTGGGGGATTGCTTGTTATTGAAATCGCCACACGATTAGGGTCCCGAGTCAAATCATTTTGTAAATTGTCTTATCCGAGTTGGTCTGTTCTAGAATTTTTTCGTTGGGTTGCTGACAGTTAGCTGGTATCATGCATCACTATTTCTGAAATTTCAACATCTCTGTTGTCTAGTAGAATTTGTTAAACTAGAGGACTCCTCACTTACTACAACTTATGTATGGCAGGTTGTTAATGGTTTCTTCTGGGCTGGAAAACCTGTTACCAGTCATGTTAAAGAGCCTTCCCATTCAACTGCTCTTGGTGTGAGTAATTGCTATTATAATGCGATATTCTCCTTGAAACATGTGCATGTGGTCTTATATTCAGTCATCTGTAACACATCTTCTGATTGGATTTCTCAGCGGATGATATAACTATGTTCTGCCTTTGTACAGCTCATTCCCCTGGGTACTGGCTCTGATTTTGCACGAACATTTGGGTGGTTAGTTATGGTTTCTTTGCCTTATTTCTTCTTTAATCCGTAACATCTATGGAGTATACAACCCTGAGAGAATTAATTGGAATGGACGCGTCTGTTTCCTTTGCCAGGAAAAATGATCCTTACGAGGCCATTGAACGCATTTCTAAAGGTGTTGATCTTCAGTTACCTTGCTGGTCTATTCTTCTCATGTTATTGTTCATGATTGGCAGATCTTGCTGAAAAACCTTTTACTATTTTTGCTTTTGGTTTCCCCTATAGAAATGCTAATGTTAGGAGTTATTTAGGGGTGAGATCAAGGATAGATGTTGGTGTCATTACTGGAGAAACTGGAGAAGACCACTACTTCATTAATGTTGCTGATATTCATTTGTAAGTGTAACTTGGAAATTCAAGATGGAGACTTACGAGTCATGATTCAGGTCATTATCTAAATACATGCCTTACAAAATTTTGCAGGAGTGCCAAGGCAGGTTTTTATGCTTCTAGGTACAAGAGATTTGGTAAACTATGCTATGTCATTGGCGCTTTGCAAGCCTTTATGGGGCATCATAACCAGGATTTCAGAATCAAAGTCAGTGTAACATATTGATTTGTGTTGCTATAAATGTCAAAGCATAGTCTCCTATTCAGGCTTCACATTAATGCACGAAAAATTTTTTACATAAGCTTTAAATGTGAAAATTTGTAGATGAATGAAGGTGACTGGGAGACATGTCCTCTAGTTACAGCTCTTTGCATTGGAAATGCAAAATACTTCGGGGGTGGGATGAAAATTACACCAAATGCTGATCCACATAGTGGAAATCTTGAGGTGAAATGCCTTTTTCTAAAATCTCCTTGATAAATATTAGCATCTATTTTTAAAATTTTGTTGGCTAAGGGGGCTCCTTTGTCCTGCCTTTTTTTCAAAAAAAATTATTTTTATTTATTATTTAAATAACTTGAAGTTGATAGAATTTTTGGCTTCCAAATTCTGCAGGTTGTTATTCTTCAAAACTTTAAGTGGTATGATTTCATCCTCAAATTACATAAGCTGTACAATGGTACACATTTGTCTGTGAGAAATGTATCTTCGAGAAGGTAAAATCTTTTCTAGTGAATGCATCATACCATTCTTCAATCGTCACACCTGTACTTGCTAGTTCTTCATTGCATGCTGAGGTTTTAGACTTTAGATGACAAATGATGTTAAATTACATGGTGGTGTTAAATTGTAACATAGCACGTAGGAGTAAATATCATTTATCCAAGATCGTTTTTAGTTTTTCTTCTCATGTCACAAGGATAACAATGACCCTTACGATACAAGTGGCATTTTAACTGATTCATTTGGATATCAATGAGCATCATTAATGAGCAAACTGCTTTGCATGTTAGGATGATAAAATATGCAACTGAACTCCGGTGTATGAGCTGGCATTTATTGTGTTTGATTTACATGATAATTTGTGAATATGCTAGGTTTTCCAGCTAAATTAAAGAACTCTTTTATTCATCTCCTTCTTTTTATTTTGTTTAATTATTTAATGCAATGTCAAGCTCACGATTTGTGATGATGCTCAGTCATAATGATCTTTGTGTTGTAGGGTACACTCTATTGAGGTAGAGGACATTTCTGGGAAGGGTGGGGTTTACATTCAATCTGATGGGGAGCACCTGGGGTTCCTTCCAAGAAAAATTCGTGTTCTTCCAGCTGCTATTGAGATGATATGCTGAATCAAAGAAAAAAGGAGAACTGCAGAATGTCACTGTAATGTGCAGAATTTCCTGAAAAAGAGAATGAAGGGGAAGGAGGTGATGAGTTCTCCCCTGCCGTCAAGGCTCTGTTGGCTGCAATGTGGCAACTGGCAACAGTTTCCAGAAATATAATAGGCAACTTTGGGAGGGGGAAGATAACTCTCAGAACATGAAAATATTTTCATGATGAGATGGAGCTATTTTGATTTGCCAGTCAAATACGCTTGTAGACTTGTAGTCCCTGAAGCTCGCTATTTACAATATTTTAGGAGGGGAATACGTTTTTGCAAATGGCACATGTTGGGGGTTTAGTTGTTAATTTTGGGTTAGAAGTGTTTTTACTTATTAGTTTTCACTTTCAGAACCGTCTCTCTTTTTAAGCAAAGGAATTCGAAATTGTTTTTGCATAAAGATGATTTGTAGAGGTTACCCAAGGGGAGGATTTCATTTTGAACACCTGTGATCTGTGTATATTTTTTACGGTAACTTTTCTTTTTATATATAGTTTTTATGCTTTTTAATTTGGTCGTTATTTTTAAATTTTATTAGTATAAATGATGTTGCGTCATATGCAAAATTAATCCTCTTATATTCCACACCATTCAGTTAAAAATCTCAATGTGTTTTAAATTCAATTATTAATTTTAGTGTTCCCTCCTATGTATTTGTATGGAGCTTAGGAAGGGCATCCCCTTACATTTACAATATTTTATGTGGATGTTGGCTATCATTTATAAATTGTATCGTTTTCGTTATAACAACATCAATCCTGAAGAAAATTCTAGTTATCATCTCTCTTACATGTCCTGTGAATGATTTTTAATTTTTGATAACTGTAATTAGCGAAGTTTTCCTCTACAAACTCAAGGCTAACTATAAAAGAACTTGATTCAATAAGATACTGAAATTGAAGAAATAATTAGCTTGAACAGAAATATCTGGTTGATTAGTAATTTCCAACTTCTTTTTCTTATCATTTTTCTTTTTATTTTTTTTGGGTTGACATTGGCGAGGCGAACAATTACTTCTGAACGACGAGGCCGAATTGAAAAATTGGAAAGATGTTCTCTCCAACTTTCATCCAGAAAAATCATTTCCTCTTGTTTTCTATGGCTATAAATTGTTTAGAAACCAGAAATGTCAGATTTTTAGACAAACCGCGCGAGTAACTGTTGCCCCATGAACTTCTCGGATGGCAAGTGTTGCCTCCGTAGCTTCCGTTTGTTCCCGCCTCAATTCCCATCATACTTTGATCTTTCCATCGAAGCTTCCCCGCAAGACCTATAGATTGCGGTGCAATGGAGGAAATCCAACTACCGATTCCTCGACAAAACAAGATTCTGAACCTCAAAATGCATTTCTCAAGATAGCATGGTATGGTTCTGAACTTCTTGGTATTGCCGCTTCTGTCTTCCGTTCCCCTTCAATCGAGGAAGCCCCTGAGAGAACTCTTGAGCTTGCCGGAGATGGTTCAGGGGCAGTTGATCGTGCTGCGGTTGTGGCAACCATCAAAGAGGACTTTGAAAAGTCTTACTTCGTTACAGGTTTTTCCCTAACACGGTTCGTTCAAGTTTATTCTTCATTCCTGTTCCTAGTTTGAGTAAAACCCTATACTTGAAAGATGATTGATTCTACGAATTGGCTTCCTCAAAGATATTTTGCATCCTTCGTACATGCATACATCCATACATGTATGCTTAAGGATATTTTACATCATTTAGTGAAGATAGTAAAATGCTATTCTGCTAAATCTTTTAGAACAAGTTCTGGTTGCCATTCCCGTATTCGCTCAAAATGTGGGTACTGTCATCCCTCTGGTTAAAATAGCCGGTCGTCAATATTTCTGACAATATTGCATGCCTCCTGGTAGTCTATTATTACATAATATCTTTTATGTAGTTTTGGCATGTCCCCTAGTAGTCTATTATTACATAATATCTTTTACGTAGCTTTGGCTTCTCTCAATGGAATTGGGTTGAACTTAAAAAAAATGCCTTGGGTTTGTCCTGCTTCCCCATTATGTGAAGAGTTGTGCCAGTTGCTGCTTACTCAAAAACCCCTAGAAAAACGTCTGAAATTCTCTTAAGACTCTATAGAAGTAGAAATTGTGTCACATGGTTAAAGTGTCCTTCCAGTGACATAGAATAAAGCTCAAACATAGCAGCCTCAAGTGATTGCTCAGATAAACTCTAGCAAATTTGAATATTTTCTGGTCAGTGATTTTAGATGTTTCTGATGGGCATTTCGCCTGGGTAACCTGGTCTTGTTCACCCTCAGGAAACCTCACTTTGAATGCTTATGAAGAGGATTGTGAATTTGCTGATCCAGCAGGCTCCTTCAAAGGGCTTCAACGTTTTAAAAGGAACTGCACTAATTTTGGATCACTTCTTGTAACGTCCAACATGAAGCTTATGAAGTGGGAAGACTTCGAGGTGAGATCAACCTCTGACACTGCGCTGGTGCTTTTTCTAACTTTGGTTTTGCAAGTGGCCCGTTTAGTCGATAGGCATATTATGGATTTACATGTCTGGTTTGTTTGCAGGATAAGGGAATTGGCCACTGGCGATTCAGCTGTATTTTATCGTTTCCATGGAGACCCATTCTTTCTGGTACGCCTTTCTTGCTTTCCATCAACTAAACCAAACCACTGAAGGCCGAAAGGCTGCTTTCCTTATCGGTTTAATCTTGCCATAGAATATTTTATATAGATCACCGTGTTTTACTTGAACTTTCTATTCTCTTGAGTAAATTGCTTTTCAGCTTCTCTGAGTTTTGCAAAATTTGCAGCCAGTCCCTGTACCATGTATGCATTTTGCCATCTAGAAACACCTAGCAGCCTAATTCAGTTTCAATGTGGCCCATAACTACAAATCACCAGAAGGCAGACTTAATATTTATGAAAAAGTGAAGGGAGGTTACTGCAATATTTTCACAGCTGGAAAGGATGAGTCCAGGTTCTATAGACTAAAAAAGAGGTTTTGGTATTGAATCAGAAGGGGTTTGTCAATTTAGGTTTCAAAAAACTCGCGTAGGTCAATGTAATTTTTCATTTTCTCTCCCTTTTTTTCCCCTTTTTCTGCTTTTTAATTACAATTAACCTTTATGAACAACGTGGTTCATCTAAAACTCCATGCAATGCATGAGAAAACATGCCTTCTTAATTACGAAGAATGAGTCTAATTTAACTATATGATGCGCCATGTAATTTGACGACATGTTGATTTAAACTGCAGCAACGGGATATACAGAATACTATTTTGATGCACAATCTGGAAGAGTTTGCAGGTAAGTGGAATGTTTAATTAGTGTCAAGCTTATGACCACTTTGCTTTCTAGTTTTCACCCACATAATTATTTTTGCATTCACATCTCTGCAAATCTGCAAATTCTTCAGGCATGTGGAGCACTGGAATGTTCCAAAAATGGCTTTGTTTAAGCAAATTCTAAAGCCTAGCCGAGGATTTGGCATAAGAGATCAGGTGGATAGGTGGTTGAAAGATATCCAGGGAAGCTCTAGATAAGCAAAGGCTTTTTATTTGCATCAAAGTGCCAACAATACGTCCATAAGTTGTGAGTTCGGGTGCTCATGAGGATCCAGCAGAATTTTGTTATGTAACCTGATACGAATCTCTTGCCGAACTGAAAAGCAATTTATCTGCGAAAAGAATAAACCTTGAAGCATAGGAAGAAGCTGAGATTTAGTGTATAAATGCTTTGTCGACGTAGTCTAGCAGTTCTCTCTCTTTTCTTATGTATGGTTGTTACTTGACATGACACTTGTATCATAGGAATTCACTGTAACAAGTGGGTAGGTGTAGCTAAATAGTTTATGACATGATACTTATCCAATCGCTAATTCAAACGAACCCTACATTAACGGTATTGTGACTTGATATTGTAAATTCGTGCGGTGTGCATTCACCTTTGATGGATCATGTCTCACACATATTCATCCTTCTCAGATGAAAACACAGGATGTTACTTAAGATCCACTTTGCCTTCTACAACCTAGAGGAAGCTGTGAAGGACAAAATATTAACAACTTAACATCATGAGGTTAAACATTTTTGGCGAGGCAATTTATACACTCATTTGACTTTTCTATATATATACTAATTCGAAGTAGCATTTTAATCCTTATCTGGTTAGTATACATATGTTATCGGTGAGGCTCGTTAGCAAATAGTCAGCAGTATTTTCTCTAATGATGATATTAATTGCCTCTCCATATTGTTTAATAGTTCTATGATCTATCCACATCCAAACAAACCTAATTTAGAGGAACCTAGAAATGTGCAGGAATTTAGGATATATTTTTTTAACACTTTGCTGGGGATTGGAGATGAATTATTATTGACTAAGGGTGCGTTTGGATAGAAACAAATCATGGTTTCAGAAGTGTTTTTACCGATTACGAAGTAAATATATGGAGGAGATTATCTCGTTTTGCGGAAAAGTGCTTTGAAACCACGGTTTTGAGATACCCAAACAGGCCCTCAAAACAATACGTGTTTTTTCACCAAAAAAATGAGATAAGCTGTTGATGAAATTTCTTTGTGAAAGAAAATCTAGAGAAGTCATAAGCAGAAATTAATTTTAAATATTTCATTTTTTGGGCCAAATAATTAAAAATCTTTCCCAGCTAACCAATGAAACCTCCTAAACATGGTTGGAAAAAGGAGTCGTAACAATACGGGGAAACGAGAACCCTCGAACTCGCACTGTCACGATAGCAAGGGCCGTCGCTCGTTACTCCTTTGCTTCAGGTTGAACATGAGCTCCTCCTCCATCCGCTTCTTCTTCTTCTTTTTCGTCACTGTTCACTCTGCCACAAGTTGCTCATTTTCGAAAGGCTTATGATTTTTGTAATAAGGAACTATATTCTCTTTCTTTAAGAAGCGAAGTGTATAGTCCCTCCGTTTCGGCATATTTATTCATTTTTTTGGCTATTTGATGGAACTTTTTCTGTGTTTATCAGATTAAGGATGCATAGATCGTTGGTTCGACCTTTCTTAACAAGGCGAGGATTTAGCACTACCAGCTCCGAGAAAATCGTTGCTTCTGTGCTTTTCGAGAGGCTGCCCGTGGTTATTCCCAAAATCGATCCTGCTGTTTATGCCTTTCAAGAATTCTCGTGAGTTTTCCCCTTGCATTTGTTATCTTCTATCTGTTTGTGTGCTGAGAAAATGTAGGCGTTGGGATTCTTCTTCTTCGTCTTTTTGGAGTGAACGAAGTGATCAAACTAACAGATGCATAGAAAGAGCTGTTCTTTTGCGGGAGAAATGGAGGAAGAGAGTGTTAAAGGGAAAATCATGAGCTTTAGCTTACAGAAGTTAAAAGGAAATACTTGTCTCTTAGTACATAGTTCCTAGATCTGGACGGGATTCTGACAGACCCAAATGAAGGGAACTATAAAATGCACGTAACTTAGTATCAAGTTCTTGCCTCTTCCAATCTTTAAGGCAACTAAATGAGTGTTTTTGTTGTGGTTGAATTTGCTCAGCATACTTGAAGAACCGATGGTTGCAGTGGTGGTTCTTATTTTACTCTTCTACATTCTCTGTGCCATTTACTATGTCGCAATTCTGTTGATGATTGTCTTAGAACTATGATTTTTATTACTATGGGTTGGGATGCTTAGGTTTCGGTGGCGACAGCAGTATCGGCGCAGATATCCAGATGAGTTTCTAGACAGATCGAATGCAAGGTATTAGTTTGTTTTTATTTATGTTTTTAATACTTGATGTTGAAATACCAAGCTTTGATATGATTGTTATGTTTCCTGGTTTCCCTCATTATGGTGATCTCAATCCTTGGCGTACTTGCTTATGGTCACATCATTAAGTCTAGATATTTATACCGGACATTAATTTATAATGCTGTGACTCATAAAAAGAACTGATTTGGTTCCAATGTTCCCTTTCCTTTTTCCTATTGAATTGCAAATGTTAATTCAGTTTCAAAACTGCCCCAATCTGTTATTGTGCTCCTGAGTGGGAACTTCTTGTAATTTTATATATGCTATCTTATTAATATGTCTTACTGTTTTCCACTGTCCTTATTAAACCGTATGGTGCAGTGAAACTCTAGCTGTTGCATCAATGTAATTCTTATGACCTGAAAAATGAATTGGTGCAACTATAACTTGTATTTCTTTGTTTGGTCCTAGTTTGGGGCAATATGGTTACAACCTGTTCTCATGATTTTACTTTCTTCACCTTCATAGTCTTTCTTTTAGTGTCTTCTCTTTCCTGTATGCATCCATTAAAGAGATAAATAATGATAATTGAAAAAAAGTAAAAATAAGTATTTGATTTCGCATAGCTTTATGCAAATATTATGTTACATCCAGGGGGAAAGGTGACTATCAGATTGACTATGTGCCAGCTCCTCGAGTCACTGAAGCTGACAAAAGCAATGATAGAAGGTATGCATTAAGTTGCTGGATTTGCATGATTTACCCTGAGAAGGTATCTTTCTTTTTTTAAAAAAAAATAAAAATGGCAAGAATACTCGGGAACTTATGAGGGAAAATGAAATGGTTCTACATACAGGGACCCGAAATGTCATACATTTATGTCAATCCAATGAAATATGTATTTATTTTACCTTATCCTAGCATCCTTCAGACTGGGCAATTGTCCATCCCTCTTGGATGGTATTAGTTAAGGGCATTCTTAATAAGTTATTGCATGGGTTCTCTTTCATATTACTTGACTTGATTATTTGTAATTGGGTTGGTTTAGCAGCCAACTACTCCTGTGTGTGCCTCAGTTATATTAATTGTTGTTTCATTAGTAGAACTTTATACCATATGTTAGTGTAAAACTAGTGACATACAAGTATGGCCTAGTTATATTTTAACTAAATCTTTGTCAGGCAAAGTTAATTTAAACTGCCATTTATTATTATAATAATGCACTCTTATTCTTCTTTTTATTCATAGGCCATACCTATGGCCTTGCCTTTTGGTTACTGGTGTTTACTTGTTACATATGAATGGGTTGCAATGTTGAACATGCTTGCGCATGTTGGTTTGATTGATAATGAAGAATGCTCGTATATGTAACTTTTAATGTTTACATATGGTGAATGAGGTGGCAGTAGCTTGTATAATTTGAGAATCTGAAAGATGTGGAAACTCATTAGTTTGGCGTACTCTTTTAATTGTTTATTAAACATTTTTAAATTACACCCCTTCAGGTCATTGCAAAGAGCTCTTGACAGAAGATTGTACCTTCTTTTGAAAGGTATACCATATGGGGCTCCAAGTGGAAAGCCCGTCTGGCATTTTCCAGAAAAAGTTTATGAATCAGAGGAGACACTACGCAAGGTGGAAACTGCTATATGACTTCTTCTTTTTTTTCTTTAACATTTATTTCCTTTTCTTTTCCCCCTCATAGTTTTAACAATTTGCAGTGTGCTGAGTCTGCTTTGGAATCAGTCATAGGAGATCTTTCTAGCACCTATTTTGTCGGAAATGCTCCAATGGCCCATATGGTTGTTCAGTCTACAGATGATGCGCCAGGGTCTGCATCCTTCAAGGTGCCTTGATGAGAAATTTTTCAGTGCTTTGTTATTGCAATTTTTAGCCTCTGGTCATACGTAATTTCATAGGAGAAAAGCTTAAGTACAATTATTAGATATTTTTTATCAAGTGTTTTTAAATATAATCATAAAAATTTGGGGAGCTTTTTTTCCAGGAGTTGATAAAAATTCAACCCTCTAGGACTTCTCCTAAATCTAGTCCAAATACCTTTTTTTACCCATCTTTGAGGGTTTTTCTTTCTTTCTTGTCTTGGTGCAGTTGTACTGCATGAATATGGAAGTTGGCTTTTTCATGTGATCCCACGCTGCATTTATTTCTCACTGTGAATTATGCTTACCATTCTTCTTTTTTGCTGAAATCTTGTCAGAAATTCTTCTTCAAGTCACAAGTAATTGCAAAAAACAAGTTCAACATTCGTAAGTGTGAGGATTTTGTTTGGGTGACAAAGAATGAACTGATGGAATATTTTCCCGACCATGCTGAATTTCTGAACAAGATGATCATCAGCTGATATTAATCGCTACGCCGAAGTTACACAGGGACTTGTTTCTTGGAGCTCCATGGTCTGTATGTATCAATTTTTAAGATCGTTGCGAGTTAGTTGATAGAATGAATATAGAGGATCTCGAAGAGAGGATCGAGCTAATATAGAATTGCTAGAGGCAATTGAAGATTTCAATTTGTTTTCAAGTTAAATGAGGCATTGCAAATTTTTGAAACTTTCTTGAGTTATTGGAAGCAAGAAGGGCGCTGTTTAAAACTCCATTTCCTTCTGTGCACCTTATGTATTTTATTCTCAATAATAATAATTTAATTTTAAAAAATTGATTTTGTTTCGGGGCTTTTTCCCGTAATGTATATTTACTTTTAAGTCATCCGTGAAGGGCCGGGATGATAGCCTATGCAGTATGTCAAACTGGGTTTGTATATGTCTGTCTTACTTCATTATGGGCCGGGATCGGCTAGCGTTTCTCTATTTTCACAGCAGACTATTAAATTTTCCAAAAGATCGCATGATTTTGTGAAATTAACAGTTTTTTTCTCTCTCATTGAACTTGTATTTCATTACCATAAATGGTATATTGGATTTATCCTAAAAATGAGTTTGTGCAAGTCACGCTCTCAATTTGACTCATTTTAAGTATGGGTGAAGCTGTAAATATACCAATAAACTTATATTAAATGTGTGTCTGATACCATAAATAAATCTTGGATTAAAAAGACACATGATGATTTCAAAAAGTTATAAAAATACCCCAACCGTTAATTTTTGTAATGTTGATTGTTTGTTTGATCGAAGGTGTTGACGTAGATGCTAACATAAATGCTTATGTGGCTTAGAAGGTCTGATAAAAAAGAATAAAGATGTAAATATACCTATGAACTTGTTCCAAATATGCACTTGACATCATAAACAAACCTTGGGTACAAAAATATCTATGATCATTTCAAAACAATCCTAAAATGCTATAATTGTTTAATTAATCAAAGATGACTTTTTAGTTCAAACTTTTAACTAAAAAAGGTAACACGGACCTTGAGCTAGTGTTTCAGTCTCCCTCCTTCAAGTGCAATTTGCTTCTCCTTTCAAATGATCACGTTTCAGTCTCCCTCCGATCCCAATGATGTTTTCTCCTCACTATTGCACTTCCATTGAAAATAAATAAGTTAAAACTCTTCACAAAACTTGCTCCATCATTTTATCTATCAAAATCTCTCTTTTTCTAAAGAGAGCAACCCTACTCTCTCTCAGTTGTTCTTGTCACATCTCCTCTAATTTGCAAAAAGGAGGGACTTACACTTGAAGGAGGAAGACTGAAATACTAACTTAACGTCCAGGTCACCTTGTTTGGTCAAAAGTTTGAGTTAGACAATCATTTTTAATGAATTAAACAACTATAGTATCTTAGGGTTCTTTAGAATGATAGTAGGTATTTATGTGCCTTGGGTTTATGTTTGGTGTTTGACATATATTTGACAAAAGTTCGCAGGTATATTTGCACATTCACTCTTTTTTATTAGACTCTCTAAGCCATGTCAGCATCCACATCAGTGCCTTCGATCAAACAAATAGTCATTGTTACAAAAATTAACAGTCATTGTATTTTTGCAATTTTTTGAAACCATCATGTGTATTTTTGCACCCAATGTTTGTTTATGGTGCCAGGCGCACATTTGGTATAAGTTCATAGGTATATTTGCACCTTCATCCTTTAATTATTCATAGTGTTATTATTTTTCAAAATTTATTAATTTTATACCATGTTAAATTTAAACCATCTAATTTGATATGATAATCCATTGGTTTCCCAAAATGATACGCATGTAGCATTTATTAGCAATACAACCTTTACCAGTATCCAAATTCAAAAACTTTGAAAACTCAAACTTTACGAGCATCCCACCAGCAAAAAAAAAAAAGGAAAAGAAAAAGAATTCAGCACGTGCGAATTATGAAATAAAAAGTAGAGTTGAATGAGTCGTAAAATGGAAGGAACAAAATGAATGAACGTAAGAATGGTGTACGGTTGTTGAGGCAAGTTGTAAATAGTGAGATGTCTTAGGGATGATGAGAATTGACCACCCAAGACCATGGTGGTATGAATAGATGTTGTGTATTAAGTGATTAGCCCAAAGTTAATTAAGCTAATGAATGTCATTAAGTAGTAATTAACAGGAAGGCAATTAAGCTATCTTGTAAGCCATGCTTAACCCAACCTAAATTTCAACTACTTCCGTTCAACTGCCTCAAACCCTTCCCGTACTTCCTCTTCATTCTCACATTCATTCCCATTTCTCACAAGTAAGCGTTCCTTACCCACCAACCTCCTCTTCTCCTTTCGTTATCACCAATGAACTAATCCTCCCTTCACAAACATTTATATGTCCATAAAAATAGTTGATCAAATTAATTCATTTAATATATATATATATATATTATCTGTCTTGTTTAGTATTAATGTCTGCCCAACTTCTTCTACCACCCACCACCTTTCTCCTCCTCTTGTTTTCTCTATAAATTTCAACCTTCAAACACACTTTCATTCTCTCTATCAACTTCTTTCCGTTTCTCACAGCCAAACCCTAGAAAACGCAGCTCAACAACATGGAAAACCACCTCCTGCAGGTGGACCCACCAAGCCCTCCACCTCCGCCGCTGCTTCCATCATCGCCGCCTCAAAACCCTACCTTCATCTTCCCGGGCTCACCGCCAGGGGTGGAAGCATCGTCGTCATCGGTGCTGGAAAAGCCGCTGGACCCTCAAGGGCTGCTTGACATTGACTGGGCTAACATATTCTCAGGGCAGAGCAATAACTTTCAGGTTGGGGTTGGGGACGCCGTTAATATTACAAGCAGTTACAAGCCAATGATGGAAGGAGGAGGTGGTGGTGTTGGTGGTTTATCATCGTCGACTTTAATGGGTGAAATGAATGGAGGTCATGAGGATATGGAAAAGGAGAGTCATAATAAAGAGAAAAGAAGAGGAGGAGGAGGTAGGCTGAAGAAGTCGACGAGGCCGAGGTTTGCTTTTCAGACCAGAAGTGCTGATGATATTCTCGACGATGGTTATCGTTGGAGGAAGTACGGCCAGAAAGCTGTCAAGAACAGCGTATATCCCAGGTTTGTGTATCTTTTAACTGTGCTTTAATAAGTTTTTCTTTTAATCCTTTGATACTGCCTCTATTTATTCCCTTCGTGTCACTTGTAATGTTTTCTGAACAAATTACTCCTTCCCTTTTTTATATAAGTTCCAATTAACCATTTCAAATTAAGTATTTCTTGTAAAATATCAAAATTGCCTTCAAAAAAGCAAACACTTAGTTAGATGAATTGGGTTGATTAATTAGGTCAGAAGTAGTAATTTATTGGACGAGACATGTTATATTGTAAACTTGTTAGAAAGAGATGAGAGAGTAACTAGTTTGATGAAGAAAAAAAATGATGAGAAAATTTTATATTAAATTACTGGGGAGAGTGCAGGTATCCATAAATAAAACAAGCTAAGTTTAATTTACAATGTTGATAGCATAAAAAAGTAGTTGTTTTACTTCTTACGGGGAACTTGCTAGGATGATGACAAGTAATGATCTCTAACGTAACAATAAATGCATATAATCACGGAAGATACCTATGGTGAGCGTTAAAAGACAGTAAAACCACAACGTTTTTATGGACCCGAAACGCAAATTTATAATCCCGGTGAGATATATCTATATGCCTTGACATCTTTTCTTAAAAGACAAAGGGGTAAATAAGAGCATGAACCCCAATAAAATGAAAATGATAAAATTGAAATATCCATCCTGCGAGGACTAGTATGTTTAAACTACGAAAACTTTCTTTTTAATTTCTTTTTTCAGCATATTCCATGTGTCACTAATACATAAATTAAACTTTTGATAGCCTTTAATTTGAAACTTAAGCATCTCGTAGAGGTCATTTCAAACTCTTTCTTTCCCCCCCCCCCCAAAGACAGATGCCTATCCATAAGTCATCTCATTGCACTCTTATAATTAAGTACAAAGAAGAATAAGATAGAGTATGCATGTTAATATATATAATGGAGATTATTTCGCGTGCTAAAAATTGAATATGTTAGTATATGGCAGAAATATATAACACATTTAGGGCAAACAAGTAAAAGGAAACATCAGATTTAACGTTTTTCTCTGTTAATTGTACAGATTAACTTAGTTAAATAGACTAAGAGTTTGAAGAAATAAACAGTTGAATTAGGTTGAGTTTGAAAGAGTCCAGGGCTTGACATAAAAGCTTGGACCATAATAGAGAGTGCAATATTCAGACCTATAACTAGACTAGTTCAACCTGCATTTCTTAACTTTCGAATACTCTCTAATCATCCTACTAAATACTCATTAGGTCTATAATCTTTTGCGAGACATTAATCTGGTCTAAATTTAATTTATTATTGAAACTTCTTTTACCAATTTCTCGTGTGTGTGTGTGTATGACTATTTTTAATCGAATTTTCTCCTTTAACTGTGAAGTCGTAAGTATATTAACTTATGTAACAGATGCTATCGTGCATTAAATACATGTATTGCAGGAAGTGCATGCGTGTGACCCTATGTGGTGCACAAATCCAAGATATGTTATACTGTTTATGACTTATGAATTTCTAATAGATTATTATACATAACATATTGATAATTTTATCAAATTATATTGGATATCCATGCATATTTAAATAACTAACTAAGCCAACCAGGTCCAATATTTTCTAAGTTCATTTTTGATCAATTTGTTAAGTTAATTAGAACTATCAGTTTAATTCAGGGCCGGCCGGGACAGTGCAAAAACATTATCAGTTGGATTCGAGTCTTAACCAAAATCAACCAAACCCTGTGAAACGAGCTCCTTTTACACTGATAATCTCTTCTCCTCTAATAATAGATGTCTGGGGAAAAATAACTTTTCCCTTCTTAAATCTTAATTAATCACTTTACAGTGGGTGCATGATACACACACACACACACACACACTTGATTCTTCAACCGTGTACATATTTTTTATGTGAAACCGAATGTAAAAGTATTAGAGTTTTCTTTTTAGGAAAAAAAAAAAAGGTGCTTTGGATACACACACAGAGCATAATTAGTTAAACCTCCTTAGGTAGAGTTTATTGCATGGTCAAAGAGACCATTACCCAGAAAAGAAAAGAGGCTGTTTGTCAGGAATTGAAAAGTCAGACTAATAAAAAAAATTGGTTAAGCTAATTGTGTTTTAAGTGTTTCATAACATCATCATGCGATTTATGTATATGTTCGCATCAGTTTCTAGTAGGTGATGTTTGGTGATCCTGTAGATCCATCCGTCTTCATGAAAACTTATTAGGAATTCGGCAAGAACTTCATCAATAATCCATCTGCCCCACATATTTTGAAAAACTAATAATTCGGAGAAACATATAACTTTTGGTATTCAAGTTTATATATACCTATAAATAATTGTCCTAAAATTTAAAAAGATAAGCTCTTTAATTTGAAGATGGAATGGTGTACTGCTGCTATTGTACTACCTCCGATCTTTAATATCAAACCTTGTTTGACTTTTATTTTGGTCCTAAATATAAGACCTTAATCTACTTTGTCTCTCATATTTATGTATTTTTTTCTAAGATAATCTTTTTAACAATAATGGTTCTAATTAATATACTTGATTAGTAAGGATATTTTTAGAAAAAAATAACATCTATTTATTACAAATAACTAATTTAACTTCTTTCCTTAATCTCCTCAAATTAGCCAACTAGCTCTTATAATTAGGACCGGAGGTAGTATTACTATGTGTTCTTTTCTGATTGAATCCAAATCCATATAAGAACATGCATTTATGATTTTTTTTTTTGAGCAAACATTTATGATTGTTAATTAGGTTTAATTACATGCGCATATATATATATATATATATATATATATGAATGAGGTGAATATATATGTATATATAAATATAATATTGACATGGGCGGGTTGGTGTGTTTGACATGAAACAATGGAAACAATGGAAAATAAAGGAGCTACTACAGATGCACGCACCACACATGCAATGTGAAGAAACAGGTGCAGAGGTTGTCGAGAGATACAGGCATCGTGGTGACAACGTACGAGGGAATTCACAACCACCCGTGTGAGAAGCTCATGGAAACCCTCACCCCTCTCCTCAAGCAGATCCAATTCCTTACCAGGTTCTAGCTAGCTACCACCTGCCCCCTCCATCATCTTCCGTCCCTTTCAAATGTTTCTGATGTCAGGAAAAAGAAAAGAAAAAAAAAGGTACAGAAAGAATAAACGTCTGTAAAATAAGGTTGATCACACTCATTTTCTTTCAACTGCTTGGCTTGGTTCTAGCTATATGTCTTCTACGCTTCATTTTACATACTCGTTTGTTTGTAAACATATAAATTTGTGTATACGTACGACTTATATATGCAGTGCCTCTAATCATCTAGTTTTACACACACACACACACTTCTCTGGATAAGGGACTTCTAATATGTTTCACACAAACTAAGAAAACATTAAACTCTATTAACTCTTTATTAAAATATAACAACTTTTCAACTTTACCCATATTTCATATATAGACTTTAAAAAAAAAACCATCTATACTTTAATAAATAGAGGACAATGTACATAGTACATTGATGACAAAAATTTAATGAAGTGATTTATAAATAGGATCAAGAAAAACTATCTCTCTCTATCCTATGAATAGTACCATAGGAGTTCAGGTTTATTGGCTGCTGGATTTCTAGGCCAACTCGTGAAGACGGTTTAGATTAGATAGCAAAATATTAAAAAGAACAGTTTTTCAATTTTGAGATTCATGCCCATGTCTATGGACTTTATATCCCCTTATATTGGTGTCAAATTTAAGATAAACACATTTTGCTCATTTGTTTTTCTAAAGTAATAAAAATGGAAATAATGTCATTATTTCTTAAATAACGTAACTATTTTCTCCTCCTAAAATTTCGTGGGATAAATACTAACTTTATTTTTATTCTTTTTTTTTTTTAACAAAAGTATTGTCCCTTTAAGACATTACAAATAAAAACTTAAAATCAATAAATTCTAACAACAAAATTTGTGAACCTAATTACATGATTAATAACAAAAACTAAACAAGGCATAGCTTTAAAGAAAAAGAAAAAGAAAAAAGGCGAGCCTGTTTTTTTTTTTTTTTTTGGCTTCTTATACAAGAGAAGGCTTGAAGCCTAGAAAATAAAAAGACTAAACATGGGGAGTAGATCCCAGACAATCGTTAGCCACTAGGATCCTCAAATTGAGAGAACTCCTGTCTAAAAAGGAATAGTTGGAAACTCCTTCCACTGATCAGCCACCTTGTTTCTTTCCCTGGAAATATAGCAAACTCGCAGCTCCCTGGGATATCGCATGAAGTTTTTGATTTGAAAAAACAGTAGGTTACCTCTATCTTCTAAAGAACCATTTGATCATCATGTTGATCAAGTTCTGTGCATCTGACTCGAGGATGACCTTCTTTAAACCAAGATCCCAAGCAAGATTGAGACCCTTAAACATAGCTCATTCATCTGCCCCCACATCCCGCTCTGTTCTGAGAATGTGTAACTGCACCATCCACATTAAGTTTAACCCATCCCTGGGGGGAGGTGTCCAGGTAGAATTATTAATCTGGGAGGAGTCTCAGTCAGATTCAAAATCCTGTATCTTCACACAGTGCTTCCAGGCATGTAAAATGATAAAAGCTGCCTCGGAGGGCTTAATAAAATCATCATCAAACACCGCATTATTATGCTATAACCGAAGCTTCCAGATTGAAACACCCCAAATAAATTGCCAATCACCGTTATGATCATTTCCCAAATCTCTCTTCAAATTTAGAGCAGACCAATCACGTAACGAAGATGAGAAAAATTGAGAATCATACCTGGGGTTTAACAAATGTAACCAGACAAGATCTTGCGTATTCAGAGTGCCTAACGACTAAGGATATGCAACACATCCTCACAGCCATCATCATAATGAGGACACAACGGCGAAGCTTGAGACCACATGCTCCTCCATGAGTTTGCAGGAAGTCGATTATTAAAAGCGACCAATACTCTGATGCGTTTATCCCTCTTCACTTCCATACTGCTGCTTTGAGAGTAGATTGGAAAGCATTGTTAGGGGACTGTTCAAGTATAAAGTAAGCACTCTTCACTGTGAAGTTCCAGTCATCAGTGGCGTTCCAAGAAATAGTATTATTTCCAGCCTCTATCACGGGGGGTAAGACCGTACGTGATTAATTAATTTCTGAGCAACATTACTAGGTATAGTTGTCGCTAATCTAACAAAGTCCCAAGTACCGTATGACACCCAATCAGCAACTTTGCTAGTTTCCTCTTCCTCTGAAAGTGGCCGCCGCCACAGCTCTTTAATTAGAACAGAGGCGAGCACAAAGAAAGGAAGAAAGCAGTAATGCCCTCCGGTGTGACTGTGAGCGAGTCGCATGCGTAGAATTCCTAGTCTGGGCTAAGCAAGCGGGCTTGAGCCAGTAAAGAGTGGGCCCACAACAGTTATTTTATTTACATTGTGCGGCCCAAAGAAGAATGGGCTCGACATAATACGCAGAAGAGTATATGAATGGCAACGTCTTTTTTAGCAAAAAAAATGGCAATGTCTTTTTAATTGCCGCTCAGTCCGAGTCTGAGCTCGGCTTAACTCAGATCGTCATCCCCTCTCAAATTATATTACTACTATATTTAATTATCAAACACTGATGTTGTATGTTACTCCTCCGGTCCTTAATATAGGACCCAATTAGTGAGTTGGTTTTGGTCCTAAATATAAGACCCATTTCTTATATTTATCAATTTTCTCTAAATTACCCCTATAGATATTCCCTCAACTATAATCAAGTAGAAAAGAGAGAGGGAGTATTAAGAAAGATGATTATGGTATTTTAGGAAAAATGTGTCACTTTTCTTATAATTAACTAACTTACCTAACTTTCTTAATCTAATCAAATTAGTTAAATGGGTCTTATATTAAAGACCGGAGGAGTATATTTTGGAATAGATGTATGAAAAATTGAAAATAACAATGTGAAAAAGTCAAAAAGTAGTACTTTATGAACATGGTATCTTCCCAACAATGCCGGCTGGTTTGTTGCTCACACTTTTAAAATGCAAGAGTTGAGGGAGTCCGTAGTTTTTTTTTTTTTTTAATTTTCAATTGGCCATTACATAACGCGGGAGCTAGTAATTCAATTCTTCTTGAAGAGTAAGGTAGTGCAGTATTGATTATTTTTAGCCTGGCGTTATGCCTAGGAGTAGTGATTAACTATTTAACTCCAATTCAATATTCTTTCGCTATTGAATTTTATTCGGAGTAATCGCCGCAATCAAGGGAACATTATTTTATGTATTCCCTTTTGTACCCCTTGTATATTAAGCTAGGTTCCATGCACTTTGTTGCTTATGAAAATAAATATTTATTGTCAGATCTGCCGTGTGTAATTAATTATTGAAATCCCTTTTGTACCGACTTCTTGTATATTCATTTGCCAAATTCCCCCGATTCGCGACCTTAAACAGAATGGCAAACTAAATAAATAACCCATATACGATTTAGTCCTAATGGGGTAGCCTAATCAATATTAAAGAAAGCACCTCTCACAAATGTGTATATATATGTATATATACACACAAGCATTAATTTCGTTTTTTTAGGGCACATTAATTTGAAGATATGGCCACATTTAACACACACACACACCCCCATATAATTATATATACATGTATATTATCGTCAGAGAGGAGGATCGAGAGTGTTATTTTCCCATTAAGTACAATTTTAATACTCCTCCGGTTCTTAATATAGGATCTAATTTTTGAGTTGATTTTGATCCTAAATATAAGACCCATTTCTTATATTTATCAATTTTCTCTAAATTACCCTTATAGATACTCCCTCAATCATAATCAAATAGAAGAGGGAGAGGGGGTATTAAAAAAGATGATTATGGTGTTTTAGGAAAAATGTGCCATTTTTTTATAATTAACTAACTTACCTAACTTTTTTAATCTAATCAAATTAGTTAAATGGGTCTTATATTAAAGACCGGAAGAATATCATATATATTGCGGGCTAGCTTTGGCCATTAACCTGTCGCATACGTCTGAAAAAATTCTACATAAATAGAAGTAACGCCTGCTTGCCGAGATGCACAAATTAAGTTATATATATACACATATATAACTTCATTCCTTAATCTCCATTCACCGCATTTTCTTCTTCCTTGTACCCACAATCGTCGTCCACACACAGCGCTCATCAATGGAGGTCAGTTTCTTTCTTTCATTTCTCTGCAATTTTAATTTTTTCCTTCGCTTTTCCCCTCACCTTTCTCGTTAATTTATATCTTCATCCAAGCACATCTCTCCTCATCCTTTAATCTGTTTTTTGATTTATTCTCGATGACGAGGTTTACGATTCAAATCAGTTTCCTGAAAAACTTCATATATGTAGCATCATCCCACGTCTTTAATTGTTATTAATCATGGACGCAGCATTTTGCAGTTTTTCCCGGAAATTTGTTCACAAATCAAGAAAAGAAAACCAGTCACACGCCTTCACAATTGCTTTACTTTTTTTTTCCCCCAATAAATACGTGAAACTGTCGCATTCGTATGTGCGGATGGTTATAAGCAATAACCTTACTCATCACCTACCTTGGATCTTCTGGGGAAAACAACAGTTCACTCTTTTTGGCTCAAAAAGGGGAAAAACAATATTAGGTGATGTTTGATTATCCCCATCATCTCAAACTTTCAATTCTCAAGTATGAATGAGTAAAGTGTTCTTTTGAAATATCAAAAATTTAATTTAATTTTCCATTCTGTCCCCATATGAATTATAAAATTCACGTGAAGCTGCAGTTTTCATGAACCTTAATTTACACAAGATCCCACACAATTAATATTAAGATTCAAATTTCAAACCATGTGAAGTAATAATCCAGATTAAGATGCAAGACGCCATATAATTAATCGTCACCATAAAAGAAGCGTCCAATCAAAGCACCGACCAAGTTGGAAATCGAAATAACACCACGCCAAGTCGTGGGATTTGGATCTATCCTCCATTCCCGTCGTTAGCGATCGATCGAGAATCTCAGATCTCAGAGATCGGAGGTCACGTGCAGCCTCGGGCCTCCGATCGATACGACTACGTACGCGGGAGTGAGTTTTGTTTGAAAATGAAGGGGGGATGGAGGTTGAGGACAAAAGTGACGGCGGCTGTGATATCTGTGAGTGTGATAATAGGTTTATGGAAACTGTCGCAGGCCGTCAAGACGTACGTTGCGAAGAAGATCGCCGACGTGCCGATGCCGGAGGCGAGTGTAGATGATGTCGACTTCAAGAGCGTGAGCCGGGAGGGAGTCGAGTACTTGGCCAAGGTCTCTGTTTCCAATCCATACCCAACTCCTCTGCCCATTTGTGAAATATCCTACTCGCTCAAGAGCGATGGCAGGTACGTTCGCTACTGTTCTTGAAGCCACAGGATTGAAAATGGAATTACAAAGATAGATTAGAAAGATGAATTACAAATCTAGTTCTTAAATGATTGAGAATGTGGTTGCAGGGAGATAGCAACAGGGGTGATACCAGACCCGGGGTCGTTGAAGGCGAAGGCATCGACAATGGTGGAAGTGCCAGTGAAGGTGGCTCACAGTATATTATTGAGCTTGGGAAGGGACGTGGCCAAGGACTGGGACATAGACTATAAATTGGATTTGGTGTTCATAATTGATCTCCCTGTCATCGGCAACATCAAGATTCCTGTTTCGCAGCAGGGCGAGATCAAGCTTCCTACCCTCTCTGATTGGTTTGCCTAGCTCAATTATATATGACATCTTTTTTATTCTCATTTCTCAAAACAATTATAACATTCGCTTGTTCCATCTAGTATTTCTCTGCCATTACCTTTGATGTAATGTCGTTTAATGCTCGCATTGTTCACGAGTACATGCTGGATTTCGTTTGTATGTCGCGTTACAAAGTCTCAGGAGTCAAAGACTTACTATATTGTTGTTTGTGTCTTCCTATGTATGATCTGGTTCTGTCATGCCTCGGTTTTGGGTGTTTCAATAGTCGTACAAGAATCTGTTGGCTAATTTTACTCCTGGGGAAATTTGCAACATATCGACAGAATTAGGCCTGTCCGGGCCCGAAGACCCGTCTGGAGAAACTCCCCTGTTCATGTTGTGTTTCTGGGGGGCCTATAGCTAAACTTCTATAGTCTAAGACGCTGATCAAGGGTGAGCTAAATCTGGCTTTCAACACTCAAAAAGTGACTTCAAGTCCAAATTTTTTTTTTCAAAGATCACTTTTGAATATGAAAAAAAAAAAGGCTCATGCTCCAAAAGTAATTTTAATGCCAACGCAACTTTTTGTTGCTTCCCACATGGCATGGGTTTGGCCGGGTCTGATTCAAACCACATCAACTTTTTATCACTTGTCTCATAAATTCATCATACCCTGCCTTATTTTTAACAGGGGGGTCATTAACCCATTAATTTTATTTAAAAATAAATCTCAATTTTATCTATGATTAAATTTTTTATTTTTTGAAAAAAATAATTTTTTTACATTCCCCTTCACTGATAAATTTCTAATAAAAGAATAAAACAATAAATAATTTTTTTGGATGAAACAATAAATAACTTCATAACAATTTTAAGAATATAGAGATTTGACCTATTTTGAGCTAATTAATTATGAATATCCACAAAAAGGTATTACGAATTCTATATGTTGAGTTAGTTAATAATAAACATATTAACCCAATGAAAGCTCTTCCTTTAAAATTTTATGCTAAAGTATACTTTTAGCCATTTAATTTTACCTAAAATTTTATTTTGATCCCTTAACTTTAAAAAGTAAACTTTTAATCTTTTCACCCTAAAACTGTTAACAAAAAATATGATATTAAGCTTTTAAATGCTGATAAAACAATATTAAATGTCAATATATTAAGTTTAATATTCAAAACAACCATAATTGTTATAAAAAAAATCATCATTTAAAACTAACAATTTTAAAGTTAAATGACTAAAAATATACTTTTTAAAGTAAAGGAACTAAACTAAAACTTTACATAAAGTTAAAGGACCAAATGTATACTTTAGTCAATATTTTATTTAATTTTGGAAAATATTTATTATAATTTTGGGCTAATTGAGATAAATCTTTATTGAGAAATTAATTGGCAAATAGCCTCTTAGGATTTTATACAACTCAACTTTTCTTGTGTGTAATTTAATTTCTTTATGTTACATACAGTTTATCTTTCCGGAACTAATTTCAGTGCTCATCACCTTGATAAGCACTATAAACTCATCACATCTAAATAATTTATATCTGATTTGAACGATTTAGATTTAAAATTTTTAATTAGTTATTTTTAAATAAAAATTATTTTTGAAAAATGATAGTTAAGAGATTATTTCTATTTTAGATTCTATATATATTAAAATAATTATTTTAAACAAATAAAAATAAAAAATAAATCAAATCTGAATCATCCAAATGAGACATGAACGATCTTGATTTGATGAGTTTAAGATGCTCATCAAACCAATAAGCACCGAAACCGGTTTCCTATCTTCCTTTGTATGCAATCTTTTTTTTCCTTATGTGCAAATTAATTCTTTATGTGTAAATAATATGTTGTATCATTTAACTTTTTTTTTTATGTGTAGCCTTTTTTTTTAATATATACAACGGGATCGTTTGTCAGTTAATTTTTTAACGGGAATTTATCCCCAGTTTTTCCTATAATTTTTAGCCTTGGGAAGAGAAATTGAAGATGAGTAAAGTGGCAGGTGGGACCATGGTACTTTGCCAGGTGGCAAAGTCAAGGATGTCGGGAGCAAAGAGTTGAGGGCCACCAAAAGGCTGGTGGAAGAGATACAGAATGGATGTGGGGTCCTGCTGCCACCACAGGAGTCTTACAAATTGTAATTATTTGATTTTTCAAATTATCTCGATTAAAAAATAATTACTATTCTCAAATACGTCACTTTCATTGAAAGAAAATACCCAAGGTGAAAAAAAAATGGAAGGAAAATATTTAAAATAAGTTAAAAAATTTGATCTAAATTATTCCTAGAAAGTCAAAATTAAAAATTAATTTCTTGGAGAAGAAATCATGCGTCTCGTGTCACTATTCTCATTGAGAAGCTGCCTTCCAGAAAGTCTGACTCGTTTTTTTCCTTTTTCTTGGCTGTGATGCATTTATTGTTTGCGAGACTTTTTTACTTCTTTAAAATTTCAGCTCTCGGGTAACTAGTAGGAGTGTTCAATTTGTTTCATTCCGGTCATTCAATTCTAGTCTTGATGAGTTCAGGATGGGATGAGACAAAAAAATTTTTCAAGACTGGACAAAAATGGGATGGAATAGGACGAGACACTAACTGAGATAGGATGGGATGCGGGGTGGGATTGTCCCATTTCGGGTTTTTAAAAAAAAAATTATTTATTAATAATTATTATTAGATTATTTAATTTACTTATTAATAATAAATCTTATTTTTATGGTATTTTTAACTCTTAAGTTGTAGTATTATCTCAACAAAATCTCCCTCCTCAATAAAATAATTTATAAAATTATTATATAGTGTTTCTTTTATGGTATTTTTTTTACAGTATCATTTTTGTACCTTTTTTTATACTATATAATTGAGTTTTCTACATAATATTTTTTACAGTGTTTTTATCTTTAGAAGTCCAATAAAAAAATAAGCATTATAACATAAAAAATTCATATAAAAAAATTATAGTATTTTTTTATTAAAAAAAAGAAAGCGGGACGTCCCCATCCCGTCACGGGACACAGGACAAAATCCTTGTTCTATTTCGTTCCATGAACACCCCTAATATCCAACACTCTAATCAAAATCTAATACAAATTTAAAATTTTTAATGATAAACTTATTTTTTAAAATAAATTACATTTATAAGATATTTTAAATTTTTTTACCTATTAAAATAAAAAATTGTTTAAAAATAAAGAAATTAAATTGAATTTAGGACATTCAAAATTAATTTAAATGGTTTAAATTATAATAAACACTCTTTGCTTTATCCAAAAAAAACACTCTTTACTCATTTTTTTTCTATAAGTTAAATGTTTTTGGATGGCAAAATAAATAAAGTTAAAAGTTTTATAAGAACACTGGAGGGAAAAAGTTTTCATCTTATATTTTTATTTCGGTTAAAATGAAAATATTAAAACAAAAAATGAAAAAGATAAAATTTAGATCGTTTAACAAGTTTTCCAACCAAAAAAAAAAAAGAAATTTCAAATAAAACGAGAATATAGTACGGACATAATACATAGATATTCTTAAAACATAATAAATGGGACCCAAAACCAGCTTGCTGCTTTAGTCGGTCGGTTCATGTTCCAATAGAAGTCCGTTTCCAAGTTTCTTTCTATTCCCTAACAAATAGAAGAAACACTCTTATTGCTGACAATTGACTCGATTAATTAATTATATATATACTCGTATTTATATATTCTCAGCCCCCAAATAAATTCATCTCCTTGGTCTTTCATATCGGCCTTCAATTACTTCATTTCTTTTCTCCGGTCATCTATGGGCGGGCCCGAGCAAGCTCAGCCGCTAGCCCCAACTTCGGGCGCCGGCGCCGATAAGGGAGCTCGTCGGAGAAGAATGAAATGGTGCGGATGTATATCAGTCTCTCTTCTACTTGTAATTATAGTGATCATCATCATCTTAATATTTACAGTGTTCAAGGTCAAAGATCCCGAAATAACAATGAATCAGGTGAAAGTCACAAATCTGGATCTCAAGGTCGATGCAGTGCCTCGGCTTCAAGTTAGGGTTAATATGACTCTGGCGGTGGCCATGTCGATCAAAAATCCTAATGCGGTGTCCTTCAGATTTGACAACACCACCACCACCATCAACTACCACGGCACCACGGTGGCGGAGGCGTATGGGCCGCCGGGCCGGGCGAAGGCGAGGAGCACGTTTCCGATGAATCTCACGGTAGACGTCTTGGCGGACCGACTGATAAGCAGCTCGGGCCTCTTCACCGACATCACCGGCGGCGAGATGAACATGACCAGCTACTCGATAGTTCCGGGAAGAGTGAATATTTGGAATATCGTGAAGAAACATGTGGAGATCAAGATGAATTGCTCTTTGACTATTGATATTAGTGGCCGATCGGTCAAGGATATGATTTGCAAGCGTAAGGTTAGACTTTAGATACGATTTTTCGTCATAAGTTTTCATCAGGTTTGTGTCTTTATTTTTATGGTGTAGAGATTTACGTGGTTCTAATTTCAACTATGGGTAGATAAACAACAGCTCCTTTGCTTAGATATGATTTTTAGAAATCGATCAATATTCCAGTTTTCTTATTTTTATTTATTTATTCCCCTGATCTTCGAGGTTCGAATGTTATGGGTGGTCAGAGGGACCCGTCAAGTGAGATGAACCAGAGAGGGTGGGGAACCTTGTTGTGGGACCTACATGTTCAAAAGTGGGTCTATCTCTCTCGTCTTTACCATCTCCATCTTACTTTACCTTTTTTTTTTTTAAAGTAAAAACGGTTTTATATTAAATTCTGACATGACTAGTTTCCAGTGACTACTATATATAATTAACTAATTTAAACAAATTAAAAATATTAATTAAATTATTTAATATGTTATTTTTTAAAAAATATTCTAACAATTTTTTAATTCTCTTTTTTTCCCTCTTTCCTTGATTATTATTAATTTAAATATATAAAAATAGATTTTATATATAGGATAAATATCAAATTAAATTAATAAAAAAGTCAAGACGTGCTAAAAACGCGTAAGTTTATATATATTCCGGTCCAGGCGGTAGCTGGTGAAAGGAATGAATCAGGAATTGGAGGAAGTGACGAAAAAGTGGAGAAATTCCAGAATCGAACAACAGGTTATGGTAAAACATGATATAATCTCTTATATAATAAAAAAGCTGGGAAAAATAAACTTGCGTTCCTTGAATTATGATTTGTAGTAATAAAATAAGGTTTTATATTAAGAACTAGAAGTAGTATTTTTTAGTGCCTCCAACACTTTAAAATATTTTTTTATATGTGTCTAGTCCTAATATCATTTTTAAAAAAAGATTAAAAAAATTGAAAATTTGTAAATGCCAAATTTGTCACTTATAAATTTAATGTTGTCAACCCTAACGTATTGTTACTAAACCTAATTTGATATTTAATAATTTTCAATTTTTTTAAATTCTTTTTATTGTATTTTTTTTTTTTATGTATCTAGGGTCCAGGCAAAAAGAATAGTTGAGGCACCACTAATATTAATACTTTAATAGACGGTGCACCAAAAATGAAAGTGATGGGCGATATTCTCAAAATAAAACCCATATCTCTTCGTTCGCCAAAAACATGAAAAAACACACGTTCGAACTTCGAAGCACGTGTGCGACTAACTCTTCATGCCATGACCCGGAAAAAAAAAAAAAAAGAAAGGAAAAAGACAAAACAAAACAAAAGCCGCGACGATATGTGCTTTCTTGAAAGTTGATATAAGGAGTATGCGCAATATTTAATATAAAAATTAATTTAGAATAAATTAAAAAAATTAGTTAAGTTGGTTATTTGTAATAAATATATATCATTTTTCTAAAATATATTTGTAGCTAGTCATGTGTATTGTTTGATAAAATATTTAATATGTGAAACAACCACAATACGTATTTTAAAAAAAAATTAGATAAATACAAGAGATAAAATATATTAAAGTCTTATATTTAAAACTAAAATAAATGTCAGACTAATTTTCATATCAAGAACAGGAGGTAATATGTCTATATTTGAAATTCCACATCATAGAATTCTAAAATATTTAAAGGAAGAGCTAGGAAGAATCCCACAAAAAAAATTGAAATTACTAAATTTCAAATAAGAAATTTTTATGACAACGTGTTGTTATTTGTAAGTCTAGTATTGTCAAAGCCTAATAAAGTGTTGTTACCCGATTTGGGATTTAGTAATTTCAATTTTTTTGGTTGGAAATTTTCCCTATAGTTTATACAGTTTAAACTGTTCATTTTTATGGGCTATGGGCTCTGTTATGTTAAATGAGGACAAAACACCAAAGTTTAAATTGTTGGTAATGAATATAAACAGCTTATTTTGCGTCGTTTGAAAGTGAAACGAAAAAAATTAGGAGCAGAGTTTTGTCCACCGGATAATAACACTTAACTGAAAAAAATGCCTATCAACTGATTAAAAATAACGAGCCTTTCATTGAAAAGGAAAATATGGTAACAACTGGTGGTTATAGGCATTCGTTAAGCTGTGGAAATTTGAATTTCCAAGTCCTGAACTGAACTTTGTCTTCATGCATTTATGGACCTGACAGTTGACAACCGACTTGATCCATTTGTCGAGTGTCCACAAAGAATGGGTCAGCGTTTTTCGTGTTCGTTTTTTCCTCTGGAACTGACAAAGATGGCTCATCTAAGTTCTAACGACGCACTATCTTGGACTGAAGTGAACGACGAGGAAAATTACCGTGCTATTTTCCCGCAAGACATCCCCTGCAGTACCGTCATCACAGTAAATTTTGGTTCAGAATGAATTGGTGTGGTTCTTTTATGCCTAAGACACCAGTCAAAGTATGAATTAAAAAAAAGAGCATAAGATAAAAGTATATTCGCTATAAATTTGGAGTCACACAAAGGCCACTTAAAACATAAGGTAGAATAGGTTTTTTCTCAATTAAAATTCGGTTTTTTATTAAAAGAGATGTTTACATTTAATACTTATAGTGTCTTGAAGAGTATTATCTCTAATATGAGTATACATATGCCTTTTGAAAAAAAAAGTCTCATAAAATACATGAAGACTCACGTTCTTGATTGCAAATAATTTTTAAAACACAATTACTAAAACGCCCTGTTTTCTAAAGATATAAAAAGCTCACCCCCTCAACAGTCTGTGGGCCGACAACAGTTGGGCTGGGCCGACAGCCGGTGACTGGACAATTTTATAAAAATGGTGGACATTAATAATGTAAAATATTACTATACATGAGCAATATCCAGCATAGGCATGATTTATATATAGATAAGAACTTGAATTTGCATGAATAACAAGTTAATTTTATGAAAATACTCCCATAAGAGCAGAGAGAGAATACATTTTTTGGTTCTATTTATGGGACACTAAGAGAAATTTTTTGTATGAATGTATAATTTTACTCTTCATTTATTATTGTGTTGATTTTGTTCACATGAGGTATAATATATATTAAATAAGGATAAAATTAAAAAATTATTAAATTTTAAATGAGAGTTAATAAAGTTTTAAATTTTTTCTGATCTATGTAAAACATATTAGAAGTATCTTATAAATAAAAAGAGAAGAATAATAACTTGCGGCCGAATCACACAAACAAAGCAAGCATAAAATTCATCACTATTTCTTGTTTGAAAATTAAAAAATCTGCGTGGGACTGCTGAACTATCTCATTAAAAACCTGGTACCAACTACCAACTAGCGCACAGTTGATATCATTTAAAAAAGAAATAGCTGTTTGGGCAATAATACTACTTCCAGTCCTTAATATAAGAATCCTGTTTAATTTAATTTTTATTTTGATCATAAATATAAGACCCCAATCCACTTTGTCTCTCATATTTATATATATTTTTCAAAGTAACCCTTCTAATAATAATAGTTCTAGTCAATACATTTGATTAGTAAGAATATTTTATGAAGGACAACACCTATTTAGGACAAATAACTAACTTAACTTACTTTCTTAATCTCCTTAAATTAGTCAACTGGTTCTTATAATTAGGACCGGAGATAGTATTATTCACGAATTATGATCAAATAGTATGATTTTTTAAATTTTAATATAAGAATCCTGTTTAATTTAATTTTTATTTTGATCCTAACTATAAGACCCAAATCCACTTTGTCTCTCATATTTATATATATATTTTTCAAAGTAACCCTTCTAATAATAATAGTTCTAGTCAATACATTTGATTAATAAGAATATTTTATGAAAGACAACACCTATTTAGGACAAATAACTAACTTAACTTACTTTCTTAATCTCTTTAAATTAGTCAACTGGTTCTTATAATTAGGACCGGAGATAGTATTATTCACGAATTATGATCAAACAGTATGATTTTTTAAATTTTATACTAATACGTTTTGGCCATAGTATTTTATATTAATACTGGCAATAATATTTTCTGATTTCTCTCCCCCCCCCTTTTGTTACTGTACGTGTTAAACATGGGGCCTAGCCATACCTATTCCAGTGAGTCCAATCTAATTAGTCAAAGTGGCGTCATACATATAGTCAAATGCAGGGCTATTCATGGTTATTTTCTCATCTATCATGCCCTAACATTCTTAATTTTTCCCTAACATTGTCATTTTAAGTTGTTTAACATAAAAAGTGTTCGCATGCGGACTTTTCGACACTTTAGCAGTAGATAAAAGAAGATATAATTCGAATAATTTAAAAAATTAATTATATTAAAATAAAATTAAATTTTATATATGATAAAGATAAAAATTGGGGGGGAAAAACAACTGAAATTCAGGTGCCAAACGCTGTGATTGAACCTGACGGTAAGAAACTTTTTGACTGCGTAGTTAGTAGCAAGAAGTTTTTCATTTTCTTGTGGTTTCTGATTCTGATGTATTAAGATACTTGCTTGGACAGTTCTTGTGCTGTTCTTTTTCTGCAGTCAACAGAAATAAAAGTTTCTTTTGATAAAAAAAAAAGAAGAAAACAACTGAAATCAGAGAAAAACAAGACGACCAGAATGTTTTCCCCCTTTGACCAGAACAACATGCATGGAATTAATTCTCATCTTTTAACGTATAAAACTAAAAATAAAACTGTAAATTCAATCGGATAATGGTAGTTAACAACGATAATCATCTTGAAACAAAAGAAAAACAGTTATATATAAAATTCAACTCTCGCAGATTTCTGTTATAAACAGCTTACAATGGCTTGCACCTGTCTGGTGAATTGTCTAACAGAACACAACTGCTCATACCTATCATTTCCGGGTTCGACCTTTCTGGTTTTCCAAATGCCTCTTCTTATGATATATTATGGAAATATATCCCCTCCCTTTCTCTCGGTAACCACCTCCCTTAATCCCCATGTCGTCGCCGGAACCCTCCATCCTCGCCGCCAATGACGACTGTGCTGATGCGGGCACCACCTCTTTCGTCACCGACCTCAGCATCGGCTCCTTATTCACCAAGGCACTCCTCATCCTCCTCTTCGTCTTCGTCGTCATCCGCGTATCTATCACCATTTTCCGCTCGTGCCGCGGCGGCAACCATCAACAAAGCAGCCACCGAGGTGACGGCGTCCCTGACTCATCTGGTAATAATCCCGACGGCCATCACGACGAAGAGAACCCCGTCCACAATGAAGCGGGGGGAATAACCCCTAATAGAGTCCTTGAAGTTGAAGCCGTCATCAACTCGTACCCGAGTTTCTTGTACTGTCATACGAAAGCCGACGAACGAAACAACACGACATGTCCGATTTGCATGTGCGAGTATTTGGAGTCGGAGATGATAAGGATGATGCCAAAATGTGGGCATTACTTTCACCTTATATGCCTCGACGAATGGCTGAGGATTAATTGGTCGTGTCCTGTGTGTCGCGACTCGCCGTCGTTGCAACATGCCACGACATCGTCGTCGCCGCAGGCCACGCCGTCGTTGCAACAGGCCACGCCGTCGTTGCAACAGGCCACGCCGTCGTTGCAACAGCAGACGACGTCGTCTTCACAGGACGCGCCGTCGTCGTCGTCCTGCGACTAATGAATTGGAGTTGATTGAATTCGATCATGATTAATTTTTTGACACAATGATGGTTAGTTAAAGTAGCATGTGGAAATTAGTTCCTGTTTTCTCCTTTCCTGTTTCTTTTTGGTAAGATGACAGGATCAACATACGGTTTTTCCTTCACAGGAGGACCAAAGACTTTCCAAGTACATTGAGACCATAAACAATAGGAAGAGTGGAAATTCATTACAAATCTGTAATTTCATGCCTAAAGAATCGCGACCAAGGGCGAATCAACATGAGCAAGATTCTGTCCTTTGAAAGGAGGGATTACATCGTATGCATGAAACTAAATAACGTTGGTGGCGAAAGATGGAGATGAATATCTCCACGGCGTCGCCCAGCTACTACGCTTCATACATACGTGCCCATGCATCTCCACCTTCGATCTTCTCAAAGTTCTTTCTAAAGCAAAATCCACTCATCAAAGATGAACCATGTTGCTACGTACTGCACATAATTATTAATGATCTCCAAACAAGTCCCATCTCTGCCACCCATGTTTGAATCTGTGTGCGCGACCATTAAGGAGCTCGAATCCTTTTATGACTGAGCATGAACCTCTTGCATCTATCTTTGCTCTGAATTATGAATTGATATCTTCAACATCATATCAAAGGAAGGAGAAGGGTGTGCTCAAGGTTTCTCATTCCAAGCATCTTTGCCTTTTATAACAGGATCGATCAGAAACTTTGAGATTCACATTTTTCTGATTTTCTTCTCTTATACGGAATCATTATTTGACATATGGTCAGAGAGTGAGGAGGTGAAAGAGAATAAATAGAGCACTGCTACCTTAATAGAATCCAGTGATCTAGACGTAAGATGCCCCTTACTTTCTCTATTTCACTCTTTTGAATTACTTCACGGCAATCTAACCTCCTTGCCACTTGTACATTAACATTATTATTTCTAACCCTGTTTAGGCTGTGTTTGGGTTATATTAGTTTACTTTAAATGATTTTATGTTCCTAAGGCAAACATTCTTATTACACTCGCAGTTTGATTCTATTAGTTTACTGTTTTTACATCTCTCCCTCATAAAATCATGTTAACTTGATCTTAAATTTATGCTAGCTTGGTTGAACTTGCAAGTTTACTTACTGAGCTTACCGTTTTGATATTTTGATATAGAAAAAAATCATGTCCATTCATTATTAAACTTGTAATATTTTAAATTTAATTGTGGTCAACTACACTAGATGTTATTTCATAAGAATATGGGCCACTTTGGGCTGTGTCTGAAGAATCATTTGGGGCAAATCCACTAAGAGGTTTTGTTACCAAAATAAAGTGGTCTTAAATGATGCCTCAAATGAAAGGCAGCTTTCAATCCCTTCGAAAACCCCACTTAATTAGCCTAATTAAGACCATCATTTGCTATTAATATATGAAGAATATTTCTTTATGTCTTACCAACTAGATTTATGTTGCCATGACTTACTTATGTTTCAACATGTGGATGGGTGGAATTTTCAATGCTCGTTGCTGTCATAAAACTACACAATACCTGAATAAAGTAGAACCCCTTCAAGGTCCTCCACTGCAACACAATTATACCAATTTGTTAATCTTATGGTTGGGACATCACGTGAACTTTTGACTATAGTGCTTTTGCATCATCATGTGCATTTAATGGATAATCATCGCTATCTATTAATACATATAATAAAATCTACAATAAAACTCACAACTTACAATATTATAAAATAAAATTTTTAATGAGTGCATTACTCACGATTTATATGCAACTCATTTTTTTTTAATATTTTATGTGATTATAGTTGGACCCTTGACACGCTGATAAATTGCTAGCGATATCTTGGTTTTGGGTTTTACAAGTTTTATTTTTATTTCAATGTCTCTGATTCCAATTTTTGTATTAAAAACTAAACTCTGTGCGCGGTTGAATTTGACAAGATTACATTTACTTTTTGAGTTCCATATTTAGAGATGGAGAGATTGATTAAAGGCTGAAACCGTGGCAGATATTAAAACGGATGGTACGTATATATAGAACAATCAGAAGTCACAAAAATGAGAAGGAATACGAAGTTCATGAGGAGAGTATATATAAAGAACAGTCAAAAGTGGTGTGTACCCTTTATATATATGTGTGTATATATATATATATATATAATCAACTAATAAATATCGCAAAGCGGATTATTAAGAGATCATTATGGGGAATTAAAATGTTAATATGAGATTTTTAATTCAAAAAAAAGAAAGAAAGAGAGAGGTCGGCATTCGAGAATTGTACTTGTTAGAATGATAGATAAGAAATTAGTTTTAAATCTAAAATAATTTATGAATATATTGGATTAACAAAAAAAAAAAAAGAATAAAAACACAGAGTCGCATTATAAAGTATTCACCGTTTTAAATATCTTAATGACTAAATTAGAAGATCATCATTTCATTTATATTTAATTTTCATTATGACGAAAACTCTAAAACCTCGGGGCCTACAGTATATCTATATGGTATATAAAAGGGCGAATTATATATAACTTCTTTGAACTTTGAAACATATACCTATTAATCTTCATAACCTTGGGAACTCTTCAATGAATTCCTTTAAAATCTTACATTTATGCATTTAACTGCGATTAATTTTTTATCTGTACATATCTTAAACTTCATGAAAATTATTTACGCATCAATAATAGTTTAAGGAGATATATAATACTAATTTATTAAGTTTTAAAGGTTAAGACTTAAGAGGATTATTTATACCTAATTCAGAGTTCAAAACAGTGTCGTATAATTTAACCTAAATAAATATAATAATAATGACAATAAGTTCTAATAATTTATACAAATGACTCCATAAAAAATTAGATTTAACTGACCCGCACGGGGTATAAATAATAATTATAAAGCATAGAGGCGGATATATGGGGGACGAAGAATCTTATCATCATGAAGGGTAATTTAATTATCTTATCATGATGTAACGTGAATCAATTAAAGATTTGATTAACAGATCTGCAAATCCAAAAGAAAAAGCAAGAACATTTTTTTTTAAAAGAGGAAAAAAGGGCCAAGAGGAGCAAGAACAAAATAAACGATTTTAAAACGAATAACGATATTCATACACCATAAAGACAGGATCCACGATGTTGTAGAAGGATTGAAATCATCGATATAAGACTTTTTCTTATTTGAAGTATTCGGATTTTGTGAGGTATATAAGAAATATTAGAGAGGGTTTATAATGAATTTCTATTTTGATTTAATGGCAACTTCCCTCCGTGGTGGATTCGGAGCGCCACGTATGCCGCTGCCACAAAAAAAAAAGAAGAAGAAAATCCCACTCAAATTTCATTCATCTGTGCAACTATTGATCACAACCTTAAACGTCACCGTCACGTTGTCTAACATGAAAATGAAATCAACTTGGAAATATGACAAAACCGACGAGCCATTCCTAGCTACCATTTTTCTTCAATGTACCAGATATTTATCATTATTGCATTAATTGCCTGACTGAGCATTTATCAAAACAGGAAAGAGCCCTAAGTAAATTTAGATAATAAGCTTTGATACTATTTTAAGCGATGGATCTCTTATATTCCAAACAATGGGAACAATGGGGAGGGATGAACCTAACTATATTATTACATCCAATTCTTATAATATAAGACTTAGTTTGACATTCAATTTGATTCTAAATATAAAACTTCGATCTACTTTATCTCTCATATTTATTTATTATTTTTTCAAAGTAATCTTTGTAGTTGTTAGAGTTTTAGTATGTGAGTATGTCAAAAGAAGTTTCATATTACTCAGGATTGAGAAAACCTTAGTGTTTATTAAGATTTGAGCTTCAGCTAATAAACTGGCTAAGAATATAAGTCTTTAGAACTGACTATTAGAAACGATCGTTGAAGTATTTATGTGTCTTAATTAGTTGGTTTTATTTTTTCATAAACTATAGTCAATGCCCTTAAGATGATTTAATTCACCTTAATCAATTTTTTAAAAACCACTCTTTTAATTGTTATTAAAACCATCTTTAATCACCATTATGACAGTCCAACGATCACATATTATTTGCCTATAAAAGGCAACTTGTGGTGCATGGTTAAAACACGTTGAGTTCTATCCCCGAGCTCTCTTCCTTTTTCTCTTTTCTTGAGTTTTAAATTTCTATTATTCTGTCACTTCACTCTACGCAGGAAGGGTTCGTTTAATCTTGGGGAGTGCCACCTTTTATTCTAACTTGTGTGGTGGAATAACTTTTAAGGACAGTGTTTTTAGACACGACTCGAACCATACTTTTGTTACTCCCTCCGTTCCTTATTATAAGAGACAAATAACCGAAGTAAGTTGATCAAAAAAACAGTTAAAATTAGTTAAGAACAATTAATGTGTAAAAAGTATAATTTTTTTTTTCAAAAATGCCCTCATTAATAAGGAGAGAGAGCATGAGAGAAAACAATTAAATTATTAAAAGAAAGATAAGTGAGAGGGAGAGAGAGTGTGAGTTGGAGATAATAAATATGGGTAAAATAGTAAATCAATACAAAAAAATAGAGACAACTTGTAAGTGTCTCTTATATATAGGAACATGCCATAAGCATCAAATGTCTCTTATAATAAGGAACGGATGGAGTATTTTTCTAGGTGTTGCCAATAGTAGTAATTGCACATATTAAATGTAGCATTAAATAGTGGGTCTAGCCAATACACATAATTAGTAAGAGTGTTATAGGGAATATAATATCTATTTATTATAAATAACTAACTTAATAAAATTCTCTAATATCTTAAATTAGTTAACTAGCTCTTATATTAAGGATTGAATGTAGTATTAAATTACTATAAAATACAAGATTTATGAAATTAAACAATGTGTCTAATTTGTCCAATATATAATATTACAATGTATTCCCTCTGGTTCTTATTACAGGGCATCCTTAACTAATTCTTACATGTAAAGGCAGCCAAAGCACTAAATTTGTCATAAA